CTGTTGCTGAAGGTGACAATGTGGAACTGTCTTTGTTCCCACAGCATGGACATGACTATTGGTTAAATCCCATTATTGTGCACAAATAGAGCCCCCAGTGTCCACCACCTGGAAGACTCATTATATAACATCTGAGGCCTACAGCAGAGATTTCTCTCTGACATAACCTGCCCACTGGATGTGTCTATTCCATGTGAGAACTCTGTGTGTGTGTTTGTGTATGTGTGTGAGTGTGTGTGTGTGTATGCATGTGTGTGTGTGTTGACAAGAACAATTTTACTGAGGGGGACAAGGCCCTGGGAGAGGGTCACATGTTCATAAAGCCATCAGGTAAATATTGCCCTCTTAAGATATTTGACTCCCAGTCTTTCTATCAGTTAGGAATGGCCAGATGACCAAGTTCAATGTGTCTCTCATTCTGGATCAGCGATACTCAAACTTTCTAATGCTGTGACGCTCTAATGCAGTTCCTTACACTGTGATGATCCCCAACTAGAAAACTATTTCATTGTTACTCTGTAGAGGTAACTTTGCTACCTCCATGAATTATAACATAAATATCTGATATGTGACCCCTACAGGTTGAGAAACAATCGCCTAGAGGCGATGATTTTCATTTTTGTAACCACGCAACAAAAGTCTACGTGTGTTGGGACCAGAGAGGTGGTTTAGGGGGTAAATGCACTTGCACCAAGCGGGATCACCGGAGTTTGATCCCCAGAACCCAGATGATTTAAGGAGAAAACAGACTCCTGTAAATTGTTCTCTGACTTCTACAGATTTGCTACATGTGTACAACACGTACTGTAAAAAGTAATGTAAAAAACTGATCTTTTGTCGCTTTCTCTCTCAGGGCTGTCACTGTGACCCGAGTCGCTGCCAAGCCTTGAGGCCGCCGCGCTGACCACCACCGCGACGAACACCACCACCTTGAACATCTTCCGGCCGACTGGGGACGTGTCCCACCTGGCGGCCATCGTCATCCTACTGCTGAAGATCTGGAAGACGCACTCCTGTGTGGATATTTCTGGGAAAAGCCAGCTTCTGTTTGCATTGCCCGGATCTTTTTACTTCATCCATTTCACTCTATAACACATCTAGGAAGCTTATCTCCATTGCTTGTTCCTGTGCCACGGTGTTCCTGATCTACATGAAATTTAAGGCCACCTAAGATGGAAATCATGATACCCTCCGAGTGGAGTTTCTGTGGTTCCCGTGGGAGGCCTCTCATTTCTAGTCAATCATGACTTCTTTCCTCTTGAGTTCTTATGGACCTTCTTAATCTGCCTGGAGTCAGTGGTCATCCTTCCCCAGCTCTTTATCAACAAGACCCGTGAGGCTGACGCCATCACCGCCCACTACCTCTTCTTGGGCCTCTCCCGTGTTCCATACTTTGTCCACTGGATGTGGCGCCTCTGCTTCGGGGGAGTTTCTTTGATCGCATTGCTGTAGTGGCCGGGCCGTCCAGACCATTCTCTACTGTGACTTCTTTTACTTTATACATTACAAAAGTACTCAAGGGAAAGAAACTCAGTCTGCCAGTGTAAGTACCAAAGACCAAGAGCAGCCTCTGTCCTTCAGGGTGCTCAGACAGGATTCTCACCACAGCGAGAGAGCACGGATGCTCAGTGCGGGGTGGGGTGGGGGGGTGGGGGTGCAGAGGTGGCTCCTGTTGCAGCCGCTCTCTGCGGGGATGCAGAGGAAGGGACCAGGAGGCTCTGTACACTGCATCCTGCCTTAGCTTTTGTATTACTATGTACAAAGAGTCTTTATTTAATACAAAGAAAATTAATGCTGTGTTAATAAATTCAATTTGTAGATGAATTGGGACAGTTCCAAAAGTGAAAGTTTTGTATAGATTAAGTACAAACCTTTTTTATTTTTTGAAATTTCGTTGAGATGGTCGCTTCTTCTTTGTGTCTACAATGAAATTATACTCAACACTTGGTAGATTATTCAAACATCTGTCAAATTGCCATGCTATCTATTTCATTTTTTGCCAAAAGATGAGTTGTGTTTGTCTGAAATCTGAGACACCGTGTTCCATTTGGTATTTTTGCTCAGATCAGTCCTCATTGCCCTGAAAATCCTTCCCCAGATGTCAAAACACCACACTTCAGGTCCGTGAGAGTGGCTGGCAAGGCCTAGAGTTTCCATTATCAACACATCAGGTTCCCAGTGGAAACAGTGTCAGCTGATGCTCACCAAACACTCACCCTTCATCCCTGCTGAGACGTGGCAGCTTAAGTTTGTCCAGAAGGTGTGGAGAGCCCACCACACCCGGAGGTTCTGAGCCTCCTGCCTTCTGCATACTGAGAGTGGGTGGTGGGGGGTGATGGCTATTTGGACGAGCATTCTGCTTCTCTGAGGAATGGAACACAAATGACTACTTGTTACTTTCAGTCACAATTTTGAAGGGTCACTGCAACCATGTCAGATTCAAATATTTTCATTTGCGCTTTTGGTGATAAAATGATTGGCAATCTTTTTAATTGGCAACACCAATTGTCATTCCTTACACTTTTTTTAGTTTTTTTTTTTTTTAAACTGGGCTCTTGCATGGCCTACCTTGTGTTAACATCCTAAATAAATATTTTATTAAACAGAAAAAAATAATGTAAAAAACTGCATGTGTTGTATGTCATGCAGAAGGAGGGGAGTAGGCTGCTCTTCCTTCCACTATCAAGCTATTGAACAATGACCGAAGAACTCAGATTCCCCTAGGAATCCCACACTAGGTAGAGGGAAAAGCTGAAGCCTTGGTGTTAGGCAGAGATTGCACACAGCTCTGAAAACTCAATAGCGCGTTTATTCTTGGCTTTTGTCTTATCATTTCCATAAAACAGTAAGCCTGCTCTACAAGGAGAGAAACTCAGAGTCCTTTTCTCCCAGGTTTGGCCAAACTGTAAATAAGTTCATTTCCGTTTATCAATTTACTTCCTAATTTCTTTAAGATGCTAAGGGTGTATGGTTGTAAGTGGCCAGCCTCCTATAACCCCAGGGCTGTCGGTATGAATGGAACAGACCCAGCGCCTGTCTGTGAGGAGCCGGCTTCATGAAATCACAGCCATGTGATTCTTTTTCTTTGTTGCCCGTGTTTAAAACAGTGCAAGGAAACATCATTTGAATTTCCAGCGTTTCCTCTTATTCACTCATTCCCAGAGCACCTTGGGAAATTATCTTGTCCTGTTGATGTGTGGTGATCACGAAAGACTTAGTCACACCAAGTGTGCATCGATGGGATTCTTGTACTTTCTTCTCAAACATAGTCCAGTTATGCTCTAAATGTAAAGCCAACACTATATTTTATTTAAACTGGTGACATATAAATTTGGTTCTGTAGCTAGGTAGTACACCAAAGAAGCTTCTTTTTGTGTGTGTGAATTTAAATAGGCCATGACTCTGAGTGTGTCACAAGTGTGTTTTGAGAACTTTCGGTCTCTAGCTCCAGGTATTCCTAATAGCAGATACTCATCCCCATGGGATGTAACTTCTGACTTCACATTTGGAAAATATTGAGGGTTTACCTTTATCTTTAATTGTGTGTGTGCTTAGGTTTGTTCATGTGCGGGTAGCTGCCGGGATAGGTGAGAGGCATCAGATCCTCTGGAGCTGGAGGTCAGAGGTGGTTGTGAGCTGCCTGACATGAGTGTACTAACCAAAAAGAAACCAACCAGTTTATGAATGAATGTTGCCTAAAAAAGTGGCTGTGCTGACGACGCTGGAGACTGATGGCCACTTCCTGACTGTGAAGGGTTGTAGTAGTGTGGACTGAGAGGCAAACTTACATCTCGGACTTTGGTTCTTCAATAGTCCTTTATCACCCACTCTGCAGCTGACCAAGAGTTCCTTTTGAATATCAGATGAAACCTTTGGATTTTATAGCAGACAGCTAGTTTTCACCAGCTCGCAAACTAACCATGTCATAGATAGCTTCTGAAGCAGTTCCTCCGCTTAGCTGGGACCTCCCCACCCTGTGTCCCCACTGCCACCTTCGGGAAATGTATTTTAGCTTATGCTTACTCTATGTTCTCTGACTATAAAAGTGCATATAACTGCTTCTATGGCAGGACACATTGCTCCAGGGAACCTAAGTCCATATCTCTGGGCCATGGTCACTCATATTTGGCTCATGATACAATTACTTCTTATTCCCTTTGGATTAAGAACAAGGTTTTACCTTAACAACGTCTTTAAGTTGTTGTATTGTTTGTTTGCTTTTATTTTTTAAACAGTGTCTCAATCTGTAGTCTATGCTGGCCAGGAACTTACTATTGTTATCCAGTTTGGCCACTCAAACTCACGGTGATCCTCCTGCCTCAGCCACCTGTGTACTGGAATTAAACTATGCTTGGCCACGAGCCCCTCATCCCCTCTGGAAGTTCTAGACACTGTGTGCTATATTCAGGGAAGGGAACAGTAATGGTCTGAAATAGTACCAAATTTTGAGTACATACAGGCAAGTAAAGAGGATCACCAGGTAACATGAAGAAACTACATATACAGAGTGTCTACGCAGAAGGAAGATGAGAAGGTAACCAAAGAAGACGCGCTAGGCTCGGTGACAAGAGGACCCCATTTTAAAGGATTGTCAGGAACTTTTCTTCTGGTCAAGGCTGGGAAGGCAGCTGCCACAGAGAGTGAGCAACACATGCCGAAGGGTATGAGAAACAGCACGGTATTGCAAAAGACTAGAAGCGATTTGGTGCTGTGGGAATATAAATGAGGAAGCTGGGAGCAGGGAGGGACCAGGAAACTGTGGGTGAGAAGTCTTAAGACAGGTGAGCACCATGTGCCAAGAAGCTAAACGTGTTTCACGATAGTTAGGAGAGACTGGCAGCCTACAGGAGACCTTGTGAGTAACTCTGGAAGTGACGTGTTTGACTTGCTGAGATCTGGTCTGCACTGTTGGGAAACACTGCAGCCCAAGCTGGCTTCTCTCTGAAGGTGGTCCTCCCGCCTCACCATCCCAAGTGCTGGAATCACCAGTGCGAACAGCTGTGCCTGGCTTAAGGCTGCTCTTTTACTACTGCCTGAGTGTGTGCATGTGTGGGTCAGAGACAACTTTCAGGAGGCATTTTCTCCATCCACCCTGGTCAGGCCTGTACAGGAGCTTTTATCCCGAATCATCTCCTGGGGTCTCTCTGACTCTGTCTCTGTCTCCCTTTCTCGCCGACCTGATGCTCTATCTCTTGGTTTTCAGTTCCCCAAGTGCTGAAATTATAGCCCGCATCAGTATTCTACCTGCAAATGACTTTTGCTAGCCAGAGTGAGAAAAAAAAAATAGAGATTGAAATTCAGTAATAAGAGGGACAAGACTGTAGTAATGGAGCCGAAAGATGGACTGGACTGATCTGTTGGGGAGGAAATTCATCAATGGTAAAACTTGTTCAGCATTGGGCGGAGATGGATTAAAACAGACACAACCCGGAATGCCTACTGTTTTGCATCTATTATTTGGTACAGCATAATACTATGTACACAAAATGCCCAGAAACAGTTTGCTAATAAGCAAGTCTCTGTAGAATAATCTGTTCTTGATTTCACTTTGTTTCCAATTAAAATTCCTTTCAGGGAGCCAGAATCTTCTGGACTTTTACCCAGTCTCCTGGTGTATTTTCAGTCTTAACATTTTCGAATTTCTTGCAAGCAGAAAACTGAGAACTGTTTTTCAACCACATATTTATCCATTAAGGCAGTTGTTAGACAGAATTCAAAGGAAGTTTGAGAAGAACATATCATGAGTACACAGACGGGGACTGGGTAAGCATCCAGTCTTCATCACACACAGGCACAAGGTTCCTTTTCTTGTGGATCATAAAGAGTAACAACACCATTTTTTTTCTTAGTATTTCGAGTCGTCTTATAAGAGTGTACATTATCACAAACAGATATTTTTCTTGGAAAAAATTTAAGGCTACTTGAGAGCAGATCAGTCTGTTTCTACATTCTCAAGGAATATGAATGATACATAAATATAAATGATTTGTTTCTATAGTTGAACTCTGGAATTACACAGCAAGAAATGATGAATTCTCCTACTGATATGATGGTAATCAAATGGATTTGGAAGAGATCATTTTAAATGAGCAAAAATTGTGAACGGGATCCTATGTGTATGTGGTACTCACGGAGCCTGAAGAGTCTGAAGCTAGACTTCAGAGTTACCATGTTTTTAAATGGCCATCAAAAGGATGTTACTTCATATGTCTGAAATTTATATGGTCTGAAATTTATATGGTCTGAAATTCAGATAATAAGTGTCCCTAAATAAAGTTTTGCTGGAGCCCAGTTTACTCATTAATATTTTACTGATTCCAAGGATGTTCCCATGGTAGTTTGCACAATAACAATAGAGTTTTTTCTTTTTCTTTCTTTTTGCTCAAAAAGCCTGGGGAGAAACCTGGTTGTTTAGTGGTCTCTGTTCTGAGGGCTTTTCTCTAAAGAAACACAAGCATAGGGGTTTCCCATATTCACATCCACATATGTTACTATAGTGTGTGGGATAACTGTCACAGAATAAAATAATAGACCTAGTTTTATTATGTCTAGGATGTTTGTTTTCACACTGCCAGTGGAGCACAGTTATTAAGAATAATGCTTCAAGGTCATTCTTATTTCTTGAATTTTGATCAGCTGTCTGTGACTTTGAACTAATGGCTTAGCCTTTTGGAAGCCTCAGATTTCCTATAAAAACAAGGGGTGGATGGCATCATCTGGTAGAGTTGTTAAGGATGAAGTGGGCGAGATACCTTAGTTAGGTTGGTATCTGGTCCACAGTAAGCGTGCAGTTCTTATTAGACTATCACCCTCTCACGGTGCACTTTTGCTGTTCCGCACACAGTGTTGCCCGCCACAAGGAGCTCCATGAGGCTCTTCCCGTGTCTTTCTGCAGTCAGTGCCCACCCTGTGAATTCTCATCTGCAGAAAGTGCCCACAGCTGCATAATCTAAGAACACCTTGACCAGAGTGCAAGAAAAGTTTTGGAGACCCAGAAACAAAAAGTCACGGACTGAAGAGAGCTAGGCAGATGCTTGCAGCTTGCCTGCAGCCAGTGAGCGCCGTGTCGGAAAGTTTGTAAATGGTAGACTCTACCCCAGCTTTTCTTAAGGAGAGTCCAGGCTTTTTGGATGACTCATTGGTGAAAGCTGTGCACGGATTTAGCAGCTAACATCTTTCAATTTTTTTTAGAGTGGATGAAATTATTGTATTTTGTGCTAAGTTGCCATTACCATGTTCTTGTATTACTTCCTATCAAAAAGATCCTTAGAAAATTACCAGGGTGCGAAGCTTGGGAACAATTTCCTTCCTTGTGGACTTGATACTGCCTGCCCTCTACCTAAGTCCTTGTGGACTTGATACTGCCTGCCCTTTACCTAAACTTCCTTTGCCAGTGGTCGGTACGGTTCTGGGCTTCTACAAAGGAGCCAGAGCTCAGTGAGTATGAGCTCTCTCAGCTATGAGACCACACCAATCCTTTCATTTTATCTGGGTCCTGAGCATTGGCAGGAGAGATGGTCTTTTCGGCTCCCCTGGAAGTACTGTGAAAGAAATTACAAGCCCTATTTTCCTGATCTTTACAAATTTTCTTCTTAAACACAATCAAAAAGGAAGAGACCTCCTACCCAACCCAAGAACTCTCTGTTACTCCGTCTCCCCACTAGTCAAATAGCAGATTTCCAGAAGGTAGCAGGGGTCTCCAACAAGCAGCTTGAAAACAGAGTCCTTATGGGTCCTCTGCCCCGACCATTTTAGGAATCATGTTGGTGTTTAATGGATCTGACTTCCTTCCACTTTCTGCGTTTAACGTCTTGACATACCCTCCAGGAAAGTGCCTTTGAATTCTCCCTCTGCAGGATCTGTTCTTTGCACTCAGTTGGTCAAAGGCAGCACAGCAGACTCCAGCATCCCTGTTTATTCAGGTTGGAAACAAAGTTAGGACAAAGCACAAACACTCGAACCTCAGTCAACGTGACGGTATCTCCCAGCAGGGCTGAGAGCCGTGGGGACCACTAGGCTTTGATTACTGGTAGGAATAGCTCTCATCGTCATACTCCAACTCATCATCTTCTTCCCCGTCCAGCAGCCCGTACTTGAACTTCCGGTAGACAGTGCCATCTTGGCCCATGTAGACGATGTCATCCTCATCATCTTCATCATAGTCCCTGTCCCTGTACTCAATCACCTGGTCCTCCTCAATATAGCTGCGTCTGTAGGAGGAGTACGACACGGTGGGTTCCACCAACTTTTCGTAGCGCCCCTTTGCCACAGGTGGGCTTCGAGACTTCCGCCACACGAGCACAGCGGCCCCCAACAGCAGCAGCAGCATAACACCCGAGGCCACCAGCAAAGCGATCTTGGCGCGCTCCAAGGGTGCAGCCTCACTGGCTGGAAGGATGCACTCTTCTGATGGGAGGCCGCCCCAGAGGCAGCAGCGAGGGAGAAAAGAAGAAACAGAAGTGGGAAAATCAGATTCAGAAGTAAACAACTGCCCCTCCATTTTTTTTAACGCCTAAAATGGTCGAATCACTGTTTTTTTTCGTTTTCTTAGGAGTCACACCACTCTACAAAAACGTGTGTTCCCCACGAGAGTCCCAGTCCATATCTAATAAAACCAGTTGATGCTCTGGTAACTTTAAGATCCAAAAGGAATCCTAGATTTCTATTTCTCATGGACCAGTCTCTAAGGATCCAACCTTCTCAGTGATTTTTTTCATTCCTGAGAAGTGTGTGTGTGTGTGTGTGTGTGTGTGTTCCGCTTTATCTACTGCTAAACCATAACTCTGATTCCTAAGATAGAGACGCCATCCTAACCATTCTTTAGCCTGGTCCCACATGACTCCCCTACCCTTCAAGACCAGTGAAGCATACTTTATAAACCCTACTGACTCTTAGTCATGTGTGGCCTTGGAAATTAGGCCAACTTGTTTGTCATAAACAAGAACTGGCTTGTGTAACAAGCGGACTTTCCAACCCATTAACCTCAACTCCAGGTGGAATTCTGGAGGCAAATTCTCTGACTGCTTGTTTGGTTTCCTTGGATACCCATGGCACTCCCTGAGCAAGAAAAGGAATACTTTATCATCTTAGAATCCTGACTGCCATTTTAAATGGCAAGGGATTCATAGAATAATTGGAATTCTTGGATTCTGGAGCCCTTCCCTTTCTTCTTTATAAGCGGCTGTTTCAAGGCTTCCCTGAGGATGTCAGAGAACCAAAACAGTGTATGGCATAACTTCAGCATTGGCTGATTTTTCTTGTTTTATATTCATTCATTCGGGCAGCAGGACTTGAGTTGCTTACCTAATTTTATTACCTTTTCTTTTTAATCTACCATACAGTAAGGCAAAGAAAGTATGAAACAGCTAGAGGAATAGGTATCTGTCGGTTGGATGTGCAAATTTTAACACACAGTAGATGCTTCCTCCTCCCCGCCTTACTCCCTTTTCAAGTTCTTCTGTCCCTCCACAAGGACCTTGCAAGGACTTTTGTGACTGAGTGGCCCCTGTGACACATACACACACGCAATACACACATGTGCACACACATATCGCACACATGCATGCATGTACACATATATGCACACATACACACTCTTTCTTTTATTTTGTTGGTGTTTATTTATTTTTATTTTTATTTTTTTGGTTTTTCGAGACAGGGTTTCTCTGTGGTTTTGGAGCCTGTCCTGGAACTAGCTCTTGTAGACCAGGCTGGTCTCGAACTCACAGAGATCCACCTGCCTCTGCCTCCCTAGTGCTGGGATTAAAGGCGTGCACCACCACCGCCCGGCTTTTGTTGGTGTTTAATTTCTATTTTATTCTAGCAGAATTTTGCCCATCAAGCAAAAATGTTTGCTCTAAATAATAGTATTATCGTTATTGTATTGGGTTAGCACAGACTTTTCCCCTGCAGGAAGTACAAACACACTGAAGGGACAGAGAAGCAATCTGTCTGTGACTCGCAGCTCCTGGGTAAGTACAAACACACTAAAGGGACAGAGAAGTGATCTGCTGTGGCTCGAAGCTCCTGAGGCAGGAGAATCTACAATGGACCTCTGGAGGTTGTTTTCTTTTCAGGGTGCCAAATGCACTCACATCTTACTATTCTTAGTCTTCAGGTGCTGGGTCAGGGTCAGCCTCTACCATTTGGTTTCTCTACCATTTGCTCTCTCTCTTCAGGGGGAAGCTGTCTCAGAAATAAAGATATAAGTAAGCTCGACTATCTGGGCTTGTTATTTCTCTCCACACACATACTATGGTAACTTTCCACCATGGAGTTGTATCCTTAGCCCAAGAGGATTTATACTTCTTTTGGTAGGGTTGCCTCAGGTAACTCTTTAAGAGCCTCTTAGCAACCAGGAAATCTATTAAGTTGTTTCTTGGAACTGACATTTCAGAAACTACACCCAAGAGGTTCTTGTTTTTCTGGTTTCATTTAAAAACACTGATGTAATGAGGGCTGAGGCTCTCAGCTGAGGGCCCAGCGTCAGATCCTGAGAGGCATGGAGATGAGGCTCTGGGGACAGCAGCTGCTCTCGGTGGGCAACTGAGGAAGGAAATGGTTAATTCTTGGAACGGTGATACCTGGAAACTAAGTAAAAGGCTAAAACAGAACAGAACAGGACACGAGGCTGGTATTGGTTATGGGTCTCAGGAACCCAAGGTTCTTTACTTACGAACGCACAGGACAAAACAACATACACTGGTTTGGGTAGGCATGACACCTCTGAATTCCAGGGAAATGGTCTATTTCTGGAGGAGAGAATTTGTTTTAAGAATGTGGTTTTCACTTAGAAGGGATCACTCCATTCAGAATCTTTAAGTTTTTTTTTTAAAGATGTATTCATTTTTATTTTTATGTGCATGAGTGGCTTTGCATTGGTGGTTCAGTGGTAAAACTCTTGCCTGGTGCTTGTATGCATGAGTGTTTTGCAAGCATGCATATATGTGCACTTCATGTGTGACTGTTGCCTTGGTAGACCAGAAGAGGGCGATGGATCTCCTGAAGCTAGAGTCGCACACATTGTAAGCAGTCATACGGTAGCTCTTAACCCCTGAACCATCTCCAGACCCTAGGATCTTTGTAAGTTTTAATATACACAATGGGGTTGAAAGTTGGAGGACAATTAAAGACTTGGAATTGGTCAAGCTGTTTCATCTATTCTTAGTTTTCAGTGATAGTCCATTTCTAAAACGCTCTAACAAAATGGCTCAGTATGAGTTAGATTGATTCTTCAGTGTTATCAAGATAAGCAATTCCTTTCCCCTTTCCCTCAGGAGCAAAGATAAAAAGGAGCAAACTGCATTTATAAAGGTCAGATCTAGACTTAGTCAAGCTGGGGGCAGCACAGATGTAAAAAGAATGTGGGCTTTGGGGCTTTGCAGTCCAACAGGCTTATGTTCAAATCCCAGATGAGCATCTAGGGTGTGCATGTGTGTGTGCTTGCATGCTTGTGACTTTTTTTTTAATGATGAAGTCCAGTCTCAGAAAGCTGAGGAAGCCCCAGATGACCTCAGACTGCATGTTTTGCTGAGAGTGGCCCCCAACTCTGGTCTTCCTCTCTGTCCAAAGCACTCAGGTTCATGTACACAGCACCAAGCCTGGCTCTAGATGACCTGCCCTCGTATCATTGCTGTGGACGTGTGCATGTTAATCCAACCCTTGGGCCTCTTGTTGAAATAGGAGCGCCATGATTCTCCCGCTCCAGACAGACGCAGGTTAAGATCCTCTCTGGTAAGCCAACTCATGGGCTACACAGAATATTAGAAATGGGTTAGAACAATATGTAAGAGCTAGCCAATAAAAAACTGGACCTAGCCGGGCCAGACAGTGTTTGAAAGAATACGGTTTCCGTGTAATTATTTCTGGGTATAAACTAGCCATGCGGGCGGCCAGGTGCCGGGGACGCAGCCCTGCCGCTCCTATTTCAACAGCCTCTGTCATTTTGTTGATAATACAGGGTCTGTTTGATTACAATTTTGAGCCTGAAATATTTCCTCCAAAGTCTTGGGGCTTGGCTACTAGCTGATGAACTTCTGGGGAGTGACAGGTCCTAAGGGGTTGATCTATTCAATGTGGATTCTGTTGATGGATACGTAATATGATGACATTATTTGGAGGTTGGGGACCTTGGTGTTGGGTTTTAGGTAGATATGAGTTCCTGGGGGCATTATGTAGAATACCATTTTAAGGTCTGTTTGTTTATATTGTATTTGTTTAATTCTGTGAAGCTGTGTTACTGTGCCTGTCTAAAGCCCGATGCTCTAATAAAGAGCGGAACAGTCAATAGTGAGGATAGGTGGAGGCAGGCAGGCAGGCAGAGAGAATAAATGGGAGGAAAAAATCTGGGAGGAGAGGAAGAAGGAACAAGGAATGGAGGACATTAAGGCCAGCTGTGGAATAAGAGTAAAGTAAGATATACAGAAGTAAGAAAAGAAAAAAAAAACCCAGAGGCAAAAGGTAGTCAGGTTAATTTAAAGTTAAGAAAAGTTGGCAAGATACAAGTTAAGCTAAGGCTGGGCATTTATAAGTAATAATAAGCTTTTATGTATTTATTTGGGAACTGGATGGAGGGCCCCTCAAAAAGGTAAAAGATCAAAAGAGCCCAAAAGAGTAAAGACTAAATAGTAAGATACCAACAACAACAGGGGCATACCCTGGAAAGACATATTTTCTCAACAGTCTCTGCTTCCTGACTGTCATGAGGTGAGCCGTGATGCTCTGCTGCATGCTTTCGACTGTGATGCTGAGGCTTACCGTTGCCTAGAAACAACAGAGCCAAGTGATCTCCGAAACCATGAGCCAGCATAAACCCTCCTTTTAATAGCTTTCCTTGGATATTTGTTGCAGTGAGGAACAAATCCAACTTGTGAACCAGGAGGTTTCAAGAACAGTAGGCACCCATCAGGCACTTCATGAATTAGCCATACTCCTCTCACTCCGCTCCCATGAGGACATGCCATTTCTCTGTGTGCTGTGCCCCTAGCCCTCACCTGTGGTACTCTGGCAGTCACAGCAGTCCTGAGAGCCGAGGGGGTGGGAAGTGTTGCAGCAGCGGAGGCAGCGGCTGTCGTCCATGTTCAGCAGCAGGCCGGTTGAGCACACAGTGCAGTTCTTGGCTCCGGGTCCCTTGCACTCTATGCAGCTCTCATGGCATTTTTTACAGCTAAACTTTTCTCCCTGGTAAGAAGAGCAAAGAGAATGTTTTTGAGAGCAGAGGCGGTACGCAGGAACTGGAGTTCTCCGTGGCTAGTCCCTCTTGTCTCTGTGAATAGGGAAGAATGTGAATGTGTGTGTATGTGTGTGTGTGTGTGTGTGTGTGTGTGTGTGAGGGGAATGGCTGCTAAAAATACTATCTATTTTTATGTGCAATGGTGTTTTGTCTGCATGTGTGTCTATGCGAGGGTATCAGGTCTCTGGAACTGGAGTTATAGATAGTTGTGAGCTGTCATGTGGGTGCTGGGAATTGAACCTGGGTTCTCTGGAAGAGCAGTCCTACCTCAAAGACAGCGGGAGTCAAGGACAAGTTGTGTCTGACCTTTGCCATACCCCTTGGCAGACTATACATTCCCACACTACTCCACATTGCAAAAGTGATATTCCAGACATGAGTCAGTTCCTAATTCCTTCTCAAAATCTAGCTCTGTTAAAGCTGAAGTCATCACCCTCCCTTGGCAATGTCAGGAGCACAGGTCCTTTCTTGATGTTCTCCAAATTGATGTAGTTCCCAGCATCCCGCATTCTGTTATCAACACACAGGTGATACATACATTTCTATCCTTTTTACTTTTGTGTGCTATGCACAGTTCTGTTCCTCTTGTTGTTATGTAACCTGGGCTGACTTCAAACTCATGATCTCGCGCTTTGGCCCTCAGTCTCCTGAATGTTGGGATTAGATTTCTGCTTTTTATCAAATTAGTGCTATGGTTTTCTTTGGCTTTTACTCTTTTATATTAGTTACTTCTTTGCCTTCTGTGGTTCCTGGATCCTTGTTCCTAGACTTAGAATATAATTAGTGGTTATAACAAAGACACTTAAACCTCACTGGAGAAGAGTTCAAAGTCCATGCAATCATTCTCTCCTTGTCTGGTGCTCAAAATATGAGTTAAAGACACTTTACCTTAAAAATTATTATTATTATTATTACTATTATTGGTATTATTCTGTGTGTGTGTGCAGACGCATATATAACAAGGCGTGCATGTGGAGGCCCAAGGACAGCTCTAAGGAGCTGCTTCTTTCCTTGCTCCATGGGATCTGAGGACTGCACTCAAGTTGCACACGCAGCAAGCACTTCTACCTACTAAGCCATCTCACGGGCCCAGAAGATCCCTTCTTATTGTTTATCTGTCACTTCAGTGACATGGAAGATGTGGGGGAACAGAAAGTTGGGTGCTCAGTGGTGGAGCAAGTGTCAGGCACCTCTGAAAATAAATATATAAAAAGAAAAGAAAAAGAAATGAAAATTGCTTTTCTTGAAGCATCTTGATGCATTTTGGCTGCTGGCTGTTTTCAGCTGTTATTGTCAAATCTTCAGAGCGCCCTTCTCCCTCTCTTCCTTCCTAGCCATGTGGTAGTTAGTGAACTGTTTGATTTCTCTGAGCCTGCCTCTGTGAACTGAAGTATGCTATCAGAATTCAAAGCGAGTATATACATATATATGTATGTATGTATATGCTGATTTGTTTTGATTTCACCATTGATGTATTTTCTTATGGTCGCAAATTTAGAAACGCAATCAAGAAGAGAAGGTCAGGAAATCTGTGGCTCCCGGAAAGGGTCCTTACCCTGGCCCCACTGTAAGATGTGGAGGAAAGAAAAGAGGGGCCAGCGAGCTTCCTCCTGTGTTCCCAAGACTGCTTAGGAAGCAGGGAGACTTTGCTGTAACAGGGGACTGAGCTTCCTGTGGTTACCCAGAACCACACCGGGACCCAAGCAACTTAGATCCTTGCAGTTCCTATGAAGTTCAAGTGGAAGCTGTAAGTTGGTAGCTTGACTACTTTATGAACGAATGAGGTGGTACAGTGTTAAACCCAGGCTGTGGTGAGTGTAGGAATTTAGATGGTTTCACTTCTCAGAATGACATGTAGGAATTGAGCTCCATAAGGGTGGGGTGGAGGTGAGGGTGCATACACCAACCCAAAGGTTCAGTACCTCTCCATCTCTGTATTCCCCTACAGGACAGTCCAAGGCACACATTCCTCTCAGAAGGTGGTAGTTCCACACACAGGACAAGCAATTCCATACCCCCTTTCCTGAAAGAGAGAGGGGGTGGGGGAAAGAATCATATTATGAGACAGATTTCAGATTCTAACCTCTGTCTTGATGTCAGGACACTTGAGAGTAAGGAAAATGTCAAGATAATTGAAGCAGACAGGTGACTGAAGATACGGCAAGTGTCTATAAGGCAAAGTGAAGACTCATAGACTGCTCAATATTTTCCACGAGACTCTCTGTCTGGACATGGAGAATTTGAGGGCAATTGTGTGTCACAGCAAAAGATCTTTCGAAAATGAGAAGTCTTGTGGGATGCTTCTGAAACCCGAGGGGCCAGGGTGTCGCCTGTGGTAGACCCCTGCCCAGCATACTCAAGGAGAGCCCCGGGATCCATCTGCAACACCGGGAAGGAACGATTATGAAGTCTTTATTTCTCCTCTGATCACATCAAACATGATTTCCTTGAGGATCCCGAACCCCCTTTGCTAGATAGTTTGAAATATGGATTATTATGTCCACAGCTCCCTGCTGGGTGGCAGGCTACCAGGACTCCCCCTGTGTCTGACCTGTGGACTGTGCCCTTCCCCATCTGGCTGAAGTCCAGATGGCAGTATTCAGCGGTGTGTGTCAGCCTTGGTGGAAATCAGTGACTTCATTCCGTGTCCTGCTTTGCTGCACACCCAGGCGTGCGGGATCTTTCACAGAGGGTTAATTTCCAGAGCGTTTTGTTTTTGTTTTGTTTTGTTTTCCAAGGTTAAGAGCCTGTGCCTATTACTATTTCTAAGGAGCCTCGAGGCGGGAAAGACAGACCTTTTGATATGTCCTTAAAATTCAGAATGACATACCATCTGCTTTTCCTCACCCTGACCTCCCCTATTTTCACCCCTCCCTCGAAGTCAGCCTGACAAATCCCACTCCTGCTGGGTGGCCCTGTGGTGCTTCTGTGAGAGAGGCTGTGCGGAAAGAGGCAGCTTAGGAAAGGGCAGGCCTTACAACTGTGTGAGGATAAAGTAGAGGGAAGTGTGTTAAGGGACAAAGGCGCCAGCCACACCCAGTGGTATAGATTAGGGGAGTGTGTGAAGCATCCCCTCCCTGACTCCCAGAGCTTCAGAATGTTATTCATCTCTCCCCTCCTCTCCCTTCCTTTTCTCTCCCCTCCCTTCCGTTCTCACCCTTCTTCCTTTTCACTGAGTAGCCCAAGCTGACTTCAAACTTTCATAATCCCCCTGTCTCAGTCTTCTAAGTGCTGGATTTACAGGTGTGCACCACCATGCTCATCAGAAAGTTTTCTTTCTAACAACCAAAATTACTGGACAATCAAAGGTGGATGGTCTCATTGCGGATTTAGACTGCCCAATTGTTTTAGATTTTTCCCCCTACACCTTAATTTCTTAGTATGACAGTTAAGGCTTCAGAAAAATTTACACCTTTTTTTTTTTCTATTCAATTTATAGCCTAAGGTGGGGATGCCAAAATTTCATGATCTGTGTGTCACAAAACCAGAGTGAGTGCAAGAGTCACTGGCTAGCAAAGGAGGTGTGTGACATGCGAAGACAGGTCAGGATGCTGAACGCTGAGGCCAGAAGGAAATGAGAGCTGTGTGAGTTTCAGGGCCCACACCCCAAGCAGAAAGACAGAGGAGAACAGATCATATGGGCTTTCTCCAGATCTGCCCAGTCCTGCCAGTCACCCCTGAATCCTGTCTTGGTGATCCTTTCTCCAGATCTGCGCAGTACTGCCAGTCACCCCTGAATCCTGTCTTGGGGATCCTGTGTTGCTATCAGAACTTGGACAGGGAATGCTCAAAGCTGCCAATCCTTAATTTGTAAGGAAATCTCCAGGCCAGTGGAGAAATAGAGATTTCTTACACTGTCCTGTGACGTCATAAATGATATCTCCAGTCCACACACAAATGTTCTGCTATGGCTGGTGCTCGGCTCTGGTGCGCCTCGGTTAAGAGCCATTAACTTACCAGATGATGGTTGCCTAGTCTTAATTAGAAGCCAAGTACCTGCTATTGGCCCGCTGAGCAGCATTAATGGGTAGAAACTGGTGCTCTCTGACTTAGCAAATGACAACACAGTCATATGCTGACATCTTATTTTTATCACACTTGTGTGTGGATGTGACTGGGTGTTTTAAGTTATTGCTTCTTTGACTTTTCTGCTATGATGATGAACTGCAACCTGGGATTGTGAGCTAGAACCAACTCTTGTTGTTTGTTATTGTTGTTGTTTTGGTCTTTTTTTAAATCATAAGAACAATTTCCAAAAATAAAACTAAGAATGAAAATTACACCAAGCAAACCGACCTGGCTTCCAGGGACCTGGTCTGCTCTGTTCATAATTGTATGGACATTGGCTGGGCCACAGAGCTGGATGATATTTGCTAAGTAAATAAATAGATGAATGGATACACAGAATTGTAAGAGAACCCTGGATGGGAGGCTGGGAAAGGCCTTTGAGAAAACATACCCAGGGTAATGGAGCAGAACGCAGACCTGGCAGAGCAGGCTGAAGGAGGTTTCTGGAGAGAGGCAATAGGTGAGATTGGCTCAGATTTGTAGTAAGTCACTGTGCTTGGATTGGAAGATGGAGGAAGAGGTAGTGAGGGATGAGGGCGAAAGTGAGGCCAGGCCATGGGGAAGAGCCTCATATGCAGATATCAAACGGTAGACTGAAAATCCCCTGTGTAAGATCAATCAGACAGCTTGGAGGATCGGATGGCCATTACGTGGCTCACACTGGGGATGAGAAGACCACTTAGCCGACTGGTACTAATTGGTAATTTAAGCAACAAAGTATGAGAGTCCAAAACCAAGACAGTGACACTAATGACTTAGAGAGAGGAGCTGACATTGGGAGCTATTTAAGATGTCACAGGACCCAGAGACACACAGGGAGACTGAGAAAAGGTTAACACTAGTTATTGTCTCAGGCAACAGAGAGCATACTGGAGCCATTCACCAAGAGAAGAAACGGGAAAATGTGGTCTGAGGATGGAGTGAGGTGTGGGGTGCCTGTTGGATATCTCATGGGAGATACTCAGCAAGAAACCTGATGCACGGAGGAATAGGGTCATGAAAACCATTTGGGAAGAAGTAGATGCAAACGGATCAAGACACTGAGGGTAATGGCCTGATATGGTGGCAATCGCTTATAATCCTGGCTCTAGGGAGGCTGAGGTAGGAGGGTCGTGAGGTTAAGTCAGCCTTGTCTACACACACACACACACACACACACACATGCTCACTCACACACACGCATGCTCACACATGCACACTGAAAGAAAACCAAAGATGTGCATGAACACACAGAACCCCTAGACTCGGTTCTTGGCTCTAGAATATGTGGGATAAGAGTTAAGACTGAAGTTAAGAGGATTTGAATAGGAAAAGATTTTTATAACCATTTTATTTTAAAGACTAGTTATTTAGGCTATACCCAAGGTCTCTGTGATATCTAGTATCTGGTTCTTGGTCACCCAAAAAAGTGTCAGATATGTGTTCTGTCTCATAGAGAGGGCCTTAAGTTAAATCAGACATTGGCTGGCTACTCCCACAAGTTCTGGGCCACATTGCCTTAACATATCTTGCAGGTGGGACAGATTGTAGATCAAAGGTTTCGTGGCTGGGTTGGTGTTCACATTTCTCTTTTGGTAGCTTGCAAGTACTTACCTACACTAAAGACACTAGGACACAGGAGTAAATGTTCTATGTAAGCACCAGATAGCTTCTCCATGGTCAATGAATTATGAGGGTGTTATCCTAAGCAATGGGACCCACCTATCATTTTGTGGTTAGCAACCCATTGTCTTGGCAACAGTCTGGGTCATTTGAGGATTCTGGGCAAGCAATGAGGATAGTAAGAATCCAGAAGGACATCAAATATGAGGGATACTTACAAAAGGTCTCTGGAATGAGCAGACATCAGAAAAATAACACTGGAGCTTGGGAAAGCTTGAGGCAGAAGTCTTTTTTTTTTTTTTTTTTGAGATAGAGTTTCTACATAGCCTTGGAGCCTGTCCTGTAACTCACCCTGTAGACCAGGCTATCCTCAAACTCACAGAGATCCGCCTACCTCTGCCTCCTGAGTGCTAGGATTAAAGGTGTGCACCGCCATCGCTCAGCGAGGAAGATGTCTTAAGTTTTTAAACAGATGAACATAACATGTTTTCCTAGACAGGTGTTTTCAGTGGTGTTACAGTTTGAATATGAAATGTCTGCACTGGCAGGCTCCTGTCCTGGGGGGAGGACAGACTCTGGAGAGGCAATTAGATCTTGACTTTGTCAGTGGATGGATCTTGTGATGGAGTCACAATTTTAATGGCTTTCTTGGGAGATGGTGCAAAGTAGGGTCAGTGGGAGGAAGCAGGGCACTTAGGCTTGCCCTAGAAGTGTGCCTGCTTCCCTTACCCTTCCTCGTCTCCACTTTCATCTGCCAGAAGCTGACCTTCTCTGTGTCCAGCATGATCCTGCTGCCAAGATGTTCTGCCTCATCACAGGCCCTCAGCGACAGAGAAAGCTTACTGCAGACCAAAGCCTCGGCAGCCAGAACAAGCCCTTCTCCCCTTAGACTATTTTTCTCAGGGATTTTTCACAGTGATGGGGTCATACAGGTAAAGAAGGAAGTCGGGAGCAGGAATAGAGCAGGGGTCCCTGTGTCAGCCTTGACAGACAGGAAGCCTAAAAGGCAGCAAGGATGTTGTAGAAACTGAGACTGGAGAGAGTGTGCCAATGCCGGAGAGGCTGGAGGAAAAGTTTGGGAAATGGTGCCAACCCGCCAACATGGTAAGAGGGAGAGAGAGGCCACACAGGAAGGAAACCCTCTTAAATTTCCACTTTCATATGCAAAACACAGGCATATGCTCACCGTTACATTTGTCACACGTTGGGTGGCACCTCTCACAGGTCTGCGCCTGTTGGTCTGCGTAGTAGTGCTCTGGGCAGGTGCGGTGACACTGGCCCTTGGAGCGCAGGAGAAAGAAATATGTATCGCAAGCCTGGCAGTCTGTGGGCCGCGGGCCCCGGCATGCCTTGCAGCTCTTGTCACACTTCTCACACCGACCACTGGTGCTTTCTCCATAATATCTGAAACCAAGATATACACAGATATACACAGATTCCTCAGTGTCTGAGGGGATTGGCAGGTGGACACTAAAACCTATGTGTGCACAAGTTCCATGTATAAAATGTCACAGTGTTTGTACATTAACTCTGCCTTCAGCCATGTCTAAATGGCTCTCTCAGTGCGGTAAACATGCTATGGGAATAGTTGGTATGCTACGTTGGCTCAGAAAAAGTATGTGTTCAGTAAGAGATACATTTTTAAAAAATATTTCCAGTCCTTAATCAAGTATGAATGCTGGGGATGTGGAGGGCTGAATGGACTCTTCACTCAACCTTCCTCATGGAATAATTGCCAAAACTTTAACGAACCTAGTGAGTGTGGGTTCCCTCCTGTGTGCACTGAATGTTATAACATTCTAACCCCCAGCTGTGTGTCAACATGGAGCTGGAAGCACCTATGATAAGGCCAAAGCCACACACAGTGGTGGCTCAACAGTTCTCTGCCATCATCGTCACTACCTGTTCTTCCTTTGACATCTCTAGATTTAATTTTAACCTTTGCTGAGGCACACTCTGGATGGAGGAGCTTTGTTTTCATTTTATCATCATCATCATCGTCGTCATCACCATCATCATCACCATCATCTCCATCATCATTGTCATCATCATCACCACCATCATCATCATTGTCATCATCATCGCCATCATCATCACCATCATTGCCAACATCATTGTCATCATCATCATCACCACCACCACCATCCTTCTGAATATACTGAATCTCCCATGAATAGTCAGACTGGATTTTAACTCTTGTAGCACTCCTCAAATGCATAGCAAATACCTTGCCTCAGCCCTTCAAATGTTGTGACTTGTCAAAATAGTCATGAGCACCATTTTGGACCAGTGTATGTATGCTTGTCTAACAGGTCTCCAGATGAGGCAAAAGTCCATTCGGACAGTCTCACTCAGCCAGAAGCAGTGGACTTTGGGACAGTGCAGAGTACTGCTGGAACCTTGTGACCTGCATACCCTCTTTTCTGTCATAATGGTAATGATTCTCTTGGTGGTTATAGTATCATTTTGTCAATGGGACAGACGTGATCATTTCTGGAAACCCCATTTTTTTTTCTTGAATATTTTCCCCTAAAATTCTTGGGGAGTTGATAATTCTCGGCTTTCTTGTCTGGGGATGCCAGGTGTCACTTCAGACCCTGGGAGCTGGCCCTATTCAGTGTTTACAGGATAGGGGCAGATTAACCCTGTTTCTGTAAATGTTTTGAAAAAGATTGTTGTTCTTGAAAATGTGTGTCTATGTCAATCACCTTTTAGTTTTTTAAAGACAGAATGTACCTGGCTCGATGTTTGGTCAAGCTAACAAAATGGTAAGTGTAAGTGTTGTTTCTGGTGTAAAGATACTTTGATGTAAAAGTTGGGAAAAAACATTTTTGACATATTTGTTTTTGTTGAAGGTTAACATTGGAGGTTGGAAAGAACTTGTCTGTTAGTATGCTAACATGTTTGCTTTTTATATATAAATAAAAATGACTAGAGCTATTCAGGGCTGGCTACTTGTGTGAAACTCATCTGGTGGTTGGACAATTTGTTTTTTCACACCTACACCCCTTCCCCACCCCAGGACCCGATCCCAGGCTGTGGTGGGACTGTGGCAATGACCGCAAGCATGTACCACTACATCCAGCTCAAAAGGCAATTTAAAATGTACCTCTTAATATATCTTCCAATTTTTCAATTAAAAATTTTTTTAAATACAAGGTCACATGATTGATGTTTGTCTTTATAAAATAAATGTAAAGCCATTTGAAAAGATTTTTGGAGAGTCAATATGCTAACACTAACAGCCATTTGATAAGCTCTGCTGTGTGCCTGATGATGCCCTAGTGACTTCAGAAACACTTCATCCCATTGAACATGAAAACAAGAGACCACTGTGATGGTTGGGAATGTAGGCTCTGGAACAAGTGTGGTTTCGATTCCTAGCAGTACCACCTAATGCTGTGTGCCCTTGGGTAGGTCACTCAATATCTCTGGGCCTCATATTCTTTATTTGTAACAGGGGGTTATTACTAGCACTGTGATTAGACTCGAGAAAGTTGTTATTCTAGGGACTAGAACTCTCTAAATAGTGTATATTTGTGTTAGTTGAGAAGTTAAATTACTTCTCACGGCATACTTTCTGAATTTATATTGTCACTTCAAATAGCATAGATCCGAAACACATGGCTTAGAACATTTAGAGAATTTGCTTAGGGTCAAACAGGAGATGGCGTGAAAAGGCTCATCTGCCAACCCCAGTCTAACACAGCAATGCCTGCTGAAGGGGAGCAGATACCCTCTGGATCAGATCAAGATGGTAAGGACATGGGCAGAGGTGGTGTGGCTCACGTCCGCATCTCCATGATCCTTGCTGGCAGGATCAGGTCACATTAATGCATATAGCTAGTTCTTGCCCCAGATCTGAAGAAGTGCGTGTGGGGTGGCACACATGAAGAATAAGAGATGTTTTACTTCCAGTAACTTAGTTTTTTCTTTTTCATGAGAAGATGCCAGGACAAATATAAGCCCTTGAAGTATAAAGCATGGGCTTAACTCAGCGTATCCAGACATACAAGGTGCTCTTACCCAAGCTGTGTGGACTACGTGGGAACAAATGAGATATGCAGGAACATGAGCCAATATACAGCACCAAAATACATGAAACATGCAGACATCACTTAGGGCTGAAGAAAGGTACCCGTTGGGGTGAAATCATTCAGGGAAGGTCCTTCGATTTGGGTCTGGAACCTCTCTGGGCCCTGGATTACTAATTGGGAAAGCGTGTGTGTATTTGGGGGTGTGTGGAATCCTGAGGCCCCACCGAGCCTTCTTCCCAGAGTGCTTGTAGCCAGACCTGATATACACACCAACAGTTGTTCTTAGCAGGAAAACAATCAAGCTCTTATTCACAAGCTGCTTTTATATCAGCATTTCATATTAGCATCAAGGTTTAGAGCCAAATCTGTGCATTGTGGAGCGGGCTATTTGTGGAGGTCTGGCAGGTTGCAGAATCCATGCGTGTAAATGGCGATGGTACCTGAATTGCTCCCCCAGTACGATCAGTGTCCCAGCTGCACTGCTTAGGTTTTGCATATTATCCCTGAATCACACAAGACCCTAAAACTGTAGAAAAAAAACCGCTACTAATGCATGTTGGGCTATTCTGAGGGGGGAGGATCAGCTCTGCATTGAGACCGCACATATCTGTGGTTTGTCAGTGAGGCCAGGCCCCGAGAAAACAGGATCACCTGATTTAGTGAGTTCTTACATTAGGACACACTCTTTCTCTCTTTTCCTGTCCTTTACTATGGCCTGGCTCATATTTGTTCCCCACAGGCAGGGCGGCTTTCCCGTGGCTCTGTGTGTTCTGAGCCCTCCTCTCCTCATTGGCAAATGGCTTGCCACCCGGAGAGGCTACAGAATGAGAAGGTCCTTACCCATCCCTACATTGCAGCAAGCACTCTTTGCCCAGCTGGAACCAGCCAGGTCGGCAGGAGTGGCATTGCATGCTGTGGGGTCCTTCACAGGTCCTGCAGGAGTAGTGGCAGGGCACACACCGGCCGCTGTCCTTGTCAGTGTGGTAGCCCTCTGGGCAGCTTTTAACACAGGTCGTGTCTGTTGAAGAAGGAAAAGAATCCGTCTTGACAGAAAGTTTGACCTGTGGCTCCCACAATCCTCTCCTTGGGCAAGGAGGTATCACATGCAAAGAGAGATGAGGTCCCCATGGGCTGACTGATATCAGTGAAGACAGAGGTCAGCATGGACAGGCCACGGCAGGCAGAATGGAAAGTGCAGGCTGGGGCTATGGCAGCTGAGGGTGGTTGGGTACTATGGCAGCTGAGGGTGGTTGGGTACCTCTGCTTTCGTTTTCTACTGTTGCTATAACACTGGCCATGAAATTTGTTGTTGTGTGATGTTTTGATTGCATTCTGATGCTCCTGAGACTGACAATCAGGTTGGTTGAATCGGAGGGCCGAGCTAACTACTATCTGACCAAAATTAACCATAGGAGAGATGGCTCAGTGGTTAAGAGCATTGCCTGTTCTTCCAAAGGTCCCGAGTTCAATTCCCGGCAACCACATGGTGGCTCACAACCACCTGTAATGAGGTCTGGTGCCCTCTTCTGGCCTGCAGGCATACACACAGACAAAACATTGTATACATAATAAATAAATAAATATTTTTAAAAAATTAACCATAGAGGTTTTGGAGGACTGAGGACAGAGAGGATACTGGGAAGAAGGGGTTAGAGTTGGAGGAGTCTTGAGCCAGACTTAAAGAAGCAACATAAAAAGTACATAGATAAGGTAAATGGGCCTTGGGGAAGCACATAGATGAATAGAAATGAGTTAATTTATGCTGTATGAGCTGGTTGAAGAGAAGCCTGAGCTATTGGATGAGCATTTATAATTAATAATAAGACTGTGTGGTTATTCGCTGAGTGGTTGGTGGGACAGAGCTGATTGACAGTCTAGGCAGAAAATTCCGCCTATACTTTGTGGCTTTAAAACAGAAATGGATCATCTCACTACTCCAGAGGCCAGAAATCTAAAATGCGTGTACAGAGATACATTCCTTTTAGAGGCTGTAGGGTGTCTGATTTTCCCCTGTTTGCTTTTAGAGGGTGTCTGTGTTCATGAGCTCAGGAGCCCCTTCTCTTCTGAGGGTAATATCCTCCCTGTCCCTCTGATTTCATCAACATATACTTCCTATCAATTCTGTTCTTGCCAGACTCTTGTGATTACGTTGGTCTCACCTGTTAAAGTCAGAATAATATCTCCCTGCCAAGATCTTTCATTAAGCCCAGCTACAAAGCCCCCTTTACTGTATAGAATACATAATTGAAAGACTAAGAGATTAGGTGTGACATCTTCAAGAAGGGCATAATTAGTCTATCACAGTCTTCCAAAAGCTCTCTTGTGTTTAAACAGCCTGTTTCTGGTGGTATGGGGCAGGAAGGAGAGAATGTGAGGGCATCAGGCCAGGGCAAATCCCGTGCCCAGTCTTTGAGGGCAGCCTCTGTATCAAGACTTAACTCTAACCCAATTACATTCCCAGATTAAGGGAAGACCTTCTCTGATGAAAGTCTTCCTTTCTGCAAGGCATCTAAGGTAATCCTAGATTGGCTGTTACTAGAAGAGAATGTCCCAGTGGGTGAGATGGTGGGAGAGGTCCACTTAGAAGGGCTATTTTTAAGAGGAATAACTTTGAGAAAGGAAGTTCGCTGACCTAAAATAGGCAAAGAAGACTGGTGTTTCCCAGTGTCATCTATTGAGAGGGGCCAGCATGGCCTTCCTGATGCTCTCTCACCAAGAGCAGGAAGCTGGCCATCTATTTATACTGTGATTATCTCCCTCGGAGGTCTATTCTACTGACTGTGAATGGGATTACAGGCATAGGCCACTATGAGAAAGAGTTGCCTCTGGATTCAGTATTTGCTGAGGAAGTCATCGTTTTGACTAGGTGTGATGGCACATGCCTCTAATCCTAGTACTGGAGAGGCTGAGACAGGAGAATCTCAAGTTCAAAGCCACTATGGGCTACACATAGCAAGACCCTGTATCCAAAAAATGGAAAAGCAGGACATAGTGGCCTATGCCTGTAATCCTATCATGTGGGAGGTGAAGTCAGGAGGACAAGGAGTTTAAGACTAGCCTGCGCTTTATAGGAAGTTTGAGGACAGCCTATATAAAACACTGTCTCAAAAACAGTCAATCAATTAATCAATGCGTTAATTTATTAAAAAGAGGTGAATGCATGGAAGCCCACAAAACATCAGCATTGTTTTTCTAGTCAGTTCATGTTCAAGGTGTCTGTGCCCAGACCGCTCAGTACCGGGGAGTCAGTGGAGAAATGGAATCATTCCGAGGAGAGGATCTACATGAATACCACTGATGAGAGGCAGGTGGGTCTTACACTACTCCAGACCCGGCTCTCAGAGGATACAAGCTACCTCTTTTGGCTGAGAAAGTACACCCACCATCTAGTCAAGAGGGAGCCACTTGCCAACTCAAAAGAAAGAATAGGGATTGAATTCTTGTAAAGGGTCCACAGCATAAAATAGCATAAAAGCAAATTGTGTCCCAGATGAAGGAGGCTACAAGATACGAAAGGCAAATGCATGTAGACCTTATCCCGAGCCCTGTCCTAAAGGGAGCTGGGACCATTTATTATGAACAGTAGAGTTAAAACATTCTAGACGTATTCGTTTTGTTTTATGTGTATTACTGTTTTGTCTGCATATTGGTATAAGTACATCATTTGTGCCCAAACCCACAGAAGTCAGAAGAGGGCGTCAGATCCCCTGGCAGTGGAGTGATTGTGAGTCACTGTGGGCGCTGGGAACCAGACCTGAGTCTTCTGCAAGAACAAGTGCTCTAAACCACTCAGCCGTCACTCATTGTGTCAATGCAAATTTATTAGTGCTGACAATGTCCTGTGTAATGAAAGGGATTGTCCCTGTGCTAGGAAACATAGACCAAAATGTTCATGGGGAAAGTGACTCAAATGTGTTTAGCTTCCCCTTCAGTGTTTTGAGTGAAGGTAGATTGTGGATTAGCAAGTGCATGGGGATGGGGACGATGAAGATTAGCAGTGGGTGAAATGGGCAAAGGGCAGTGTGTTCCTTGGACCATCCCATCTTGTCTGTTTTCTGTAGGTTTGAAAAACGTGAAAGAAATGTAAAGAAAAAATAAACAAACGACAGGAAGAAGTTAACAGCCAAGGGGCATCAACATCACACCCTGCAGGCTCATGTGGAGAGAGTTGGCACAGCCGGCCTTGAGGTGTGGTGTAACTCACTGAGAAGAAGAGTCTCTCTAGGGCAGGTATAGCACTGGTCCTCGGCAGGCCCTGAGCAGCGGGAGCACTTCCTGTGACATGGCTGGCACCTGTGAGTGCCCTCATCCCAGTACTCGACAGCTGCACACTCCTCGGGCGCTGTGCAGACCTCATTCACGATCGTCAGGCCTTCCTGACAAGCCAGGCAGGTCCATTCTGATGAGCAGATCCGGCAGAACTCAGGGCAATCTGTGGGTATGGCAGCCAAGCACAGGACGGTGAGAGATGGTTAAGGCAGGGGCACCCCTTTAGGAAATGAATACCATTCTCCTGGAGACTTCTAGGGCTTTGTGCCAAGGGTATGGGAACTCGGTGGCTTAACACTATGAACAAGGTCACACAACAGTATGTGGCCTTTCCTCTATCAAAGGCTCCATTGCCACATCTTTCCCGCATCTCCTAGAATACCTCTAGCTAGTCACTAAGCAGTTACTGGAATGTAGTATAACTGCCCAGTGGCAAAGGCCTCTTTGGTGTACATCATAAAGGCACAGTGCTGGTGTGAGAGGACCTGCGTACAACAGGCACTTGCTTGGCAGATGTTCTGGACAATCAATGAGTAATAGCCCACCCTTAGAGGTGCCAGTACCCATCATTTCCTCTACCTGGAATCCTGTTCTTGCAGACATGTGCAGGTTTCTTCCTACAGTCATTGCTCCTTTCCTTTCTTGGTATCTTCCATAAAATCCTTCAAATTTCAATTCCTGCTGGCCCCTCTTCCTACCCTTCCTTTGCTGTCTCCCTTTTCTCTTGACTTGGTGTCCTTAGCATCTTCCTCTTTGAATAGACCATGAGCTCTGTAAGGCAGGCCTTCCGTCTGCACTCTCTCCAGGCCTGGAGCAGCACACAGCACACAGAAGCTCTCTCCCAACCCCCAGTTTCCCTGGATGGAGAGATGCATGGCTTTCCTGTTACTATTATCATCTCATTCTCTCTGCACCAGGTTGGGACCAGAGATGCTAAGTCACTCATCCAGGAGAGAATAGAACCAGCTAGGTGTGGTGGCACATACTTGTAACCACAACTCTTGGGGGACTGGGCAAGAGGAGGGCACATTGACAGCCAGCACAATGGGATTCCATCCAGATGTTGCAGGAGACAGACCCGGATAGGAATCAAGACCCTTAACAAAAGCTCTTGCCAATTCAGCCCCAGGACTCAGGAAAGGTGGTAAGCTACCCCCAGCTTTAGAAAAGCCTGTCTCCTAGGGTGCTTTCCTCTCTTCTTTGAGAAGTCCTCTGATAACGGACAATCTATGGTTTCTGTTTCCTGGTTACTAAAAAGAGATTAAGGAAGATTAATGCCCAGTTGAAAAATAAGGGGGCCCAAGGAACTACAGACCCTCTCTCCTTTCTTGTTTTATTGTTTCACACAGTACTAAGGGTCCCGTGCAGGCTCTGGGACACACTAGGCAAGGGCTTTCATACTATGTTGCTCCCCAGGTCTAGCAGTTCCCTTCTGGGCTGTGTAGTGGCAGAAGGGCCAAATGAGAGAGGAATGGGACCTGGGATAGAAAGTGCTGAAGGGAAGAGGGGCGGTGAGGAGAGGAGAGAGGGAAGGGAGCTGACGGGCAGGTAGGAAGGCCTCTGACGGATGGATCTTTTAAGTGTGTGAACTCATTGGTGACTTGAACCCTCAAGAAGAAACATCAGCTTAGAGCATCCTTTAGAAGTTCATCAGCTCTTGGAAACCATGCATGGAGAACCCTTTTCCATGGGCATGTGCCATTGGTAGGGCTGTGTGATCCATAACTAGCAGGACTCACACTCTCAAAGCTTGTGAATGGTGCAGTTGAAAAATAAACTTTTGGGGCTGGAGAGATGGCTCAGTGGTTAAGAGCATTGCCTGCTCTTCCAAAGGTCCTGAGTTCAATTCCCAGCAACTACATGGTGGCTCACAACCATCTGCAATGAGATCTGGTGCCCTCTTCTGGCCTGTAGGCATACACGCAGACAGAATATTGTATACATAATAAGTAAATAAATATTTAAAAAAAAAAGAAAAAAAAAAGAAAAAGAAACTTTTGCCGGGACTGTGGTGACACACATCTTTCATCCCAGCACTAGGGCGGCAGAGGGCAGCAGATTTCTGTGAGTTCCATGCCAGCCTTGTCTACAGAGCAAGTTTTAGGACAGCCAGGACACAGAAAAAAACCCGTCTCAACACCCCATGCCCCAAAGAAAACAATGACAAAAAAGAACTAGTGTTCAAATTTGACTTCTTTGAGCAGAAAGGGTAAAAGTGTCCTGAGAACTGGATCCTCCGGAGACCCTAGAGCGTGCTTTGTGTGGACAGGCTACCCAGCATCCCTTGCTCGATCCTGCAGCCCGAAAGTCCTTACCTTCGCATTTGTCAGTCCCCTCGTCTTTGTAGGTTCCCTCGGGGCACACGTCCAGACACAGCCCATTGGAGAGAACCTTGGAAGAATCAGCGCAGCCCACACAGTCATCTTCCTTGGGGCCATTGCACTCCAGACAGTTTTTATGGCAGGAGACACACTGGCCCAAGTCAGGATAAAAGTGCTTGGGACAGGAGGGACGGCAAGTGTCCTCGTGCAGGAAGAAGTTGGGCACGCACTCTGAGGAAAGGAGGAAGTAGCAGGTTATCCCCCAGGGACGGGTGAGAAGAATGCATCACTCTTGTGGTGGCCTAGATCATTTCTCCGCTCTCTGAGCCTCTTGACCTAGGATAACATTTGCCCTTCCCCATCCAGTCAGGATGCATCCCCAATATCTAAAAATCCCTGTCTTGGGAGTGAACCCACACATGGTGGCCTGATTATATGATTTTGGATTTGTGTACTGACGTGGCCTGCACCTTCCAGGTGCAAAAAGTTTCAGTGCTGTGGGAAATAGTGAGGGTGGGAATGTTGGAGTCGTTGTTCAAAGACCTGGGGACAATGACTGTCCACAGATAGCAGAATGAAACTAGGCCCATACTTATCACCCTGCGCACAAATCAGTTCCACATGGACCAAAGACCTCAGTGTGAGAGCGGAAACCCTGGGACCGCCAGAAGAAAGCTGGCTGTACGGTACAGCGCATAGGTTCAAAGGACTTTCAGAATGGAACTTCATTCACCCAGGAATTAAAGCCAACAGCTGACAAGTGGGACCTCATAAAACTCAGAGGAAGCAATCAGCTGCGTGAGGAGGAAGCCCACAGAGTAGAGGAGAATTTTTGATAGCTGTACGTCTGACAGGATTAACATCCAGAACATATTAAGCACTCAAAAGAGTGAAAAAAAAATCAAGAAAACAAATGATCTAATTAAGAAAATGGGCTATAGATCCGAACAGAGAATTCTTTAAAGTCTTCCCTATCCTTGGCCAACGGGAGATGCAAATTAGTATTACTTATTACTAGTATCAGTGAGATCTCATCCAAGATCAAGACAACAACTGACAACAGACGCTGGCGAAGACGCGGGGAAAGGAGAAGCCTCACCCGCTGTTGGCAGGACTGAAAGCTGGTACAGCCTAGATGAAAATCAAGGTGGAGAATTCTCAAAAAGCTAAAAGCAGACCTAGCACGTGACCCAGAAGGATAGCATGCCCAAAGGACTCGCTATCCTTCTCAGGTTCTTGCTCATCCAGGCTCACTGCTGCTCCCTTCACAGTAGCTAAGCCGTGGAAACAGACTAAATGTCCGTCACCCGATGACTAGATGATGCCACACTGGAATACTATTGAGATACAAAAAAAAATTCAATCATGAAATTTGCAGGTAAATGGATAAAAGCAGAAACGATGATACTGAGCAAGATACACCAGACCCAGAAAGGCAAATGCTGCATGTTCTTTCATGTTTGTGTGTCCTTTGTCTACATCTTTAGACGTCAGCATGTGACCCAAAGGAGCTGCAGAAGCCAGGAAGTTTAGAAAGAGTGATGGTGGTACAGAGGAGAAGGAGCTCTAGAGAAGGGTCTAGAAGGAAGCAGGTGCTATGCAAGGGGAAAATGAGGGTGGGGGTCTGAACTTGTGGGAGGGAGGGAGGGAAGGTAATTTAGAAACAGAGGAGGTAATTCAGAGAAAGATAAATACCACTAAGGATGCTTGAGAAAGTCTTAGGGAAACCTTATTTTATAAGCTTTACTTTACATAGACACTACAGACATACAGTAATAGGAGAGCCTATTTCTCTCTCTCTCTCTCTCTCTCTCTCTCTCTCTCTCTCTCTCTCTCTCTCTCTGTGTGTGTGTGTGTGTGTGCGCGCGCGCGCAGGTCTATGACACTGAAGGATAATGCTCCCTCAAGAGTTATTGACTAACAAAAATCCCAGGCAAGGAAAACCCCCTTTCAAGTTCCAGGGTTGTCTAAGAGACTCCCTAGTGCCGTATAGGCTATTGTTGCCTCCCAGAATTTGGAAGTTAGACTCTACTGCTGAAGACACCACACACTGTAGACACATGACTTGGAGGATATGATGCAAAATTGATCTCTTTCCATGATGTGGGATCACAGGTAGGAGATGTCTTTAGGAGGTGCCGTCGTTCCCTATTGCTCCACCACCTTTTTTCCCATATCTTTATAACTCTTTCGCTAATCACCTCTGTGATTTTTGTTTTTATATTTGAGACAGATCAGTCTCTTCTATAAGACCTTGACTCTCAGTGGGGTTTGAGGATCTTATCTGTAACTCGGTGCCCTGGGTTAGGAACTGGAGCTCTTAGAAACAAACAAGCAAACAAACAAAACAAAACAGCTGTGTTCTACAAGGCTGGCTGACTGGTTAGGACTGCACTCTTGTGGAGTGTTGGAATGTTGTAGATCCAGAATCAAATTATCTTGGGCTTTCTTTAGCTCCTTAGCCATTCCTTGCCCACCTCTGTGTTGGACCTGTGACTGTCAGGTAAATTCTCTTGGAATGTGTTAATTTAACGGACCATTAGCTCTGCCGACCCTGAAGCCACAGCTGTCATCAGGAGTACATGAAGCCTATAGCAGAGATGTCCTCACGTTGCTGTAACGCTCCTACCGGCTGTTACCACCAGAGCTTTTAAAAGAGCCTTGATTCAGGACTTCCTTTTGCTCTGATTTGGAAAACATATGAACCTGTCACACTGAAACATGGCAAGTAGGGTAACCCGGATCTTTGCTCCTTAGGCCTTGGTCATTCATGTCTGTCCCCAGAATGAACGTCTCTTATTCCCTTTGAGGTGAGAGTTGAGGATATTGGGAGGAACGCTTGTTTGTCTTTAGCTCAGAGTCCCAAGGGAAGAAGCTTATCTCACCCTCTGCGTCCTCAATGATAGGCCAGCAGGTGGCGAGTTTCACTGAAGGCGGAGATTGATTCTTTCTGTTCTCAGATAGGGGTGCTAGCCAGTGGTTCCTCGGGGCCAGGATCCCTTTGGGACTGCCAGAATGTTTTCTGCTTGTTTGTTAGCTTTCTATCAAAGATGATTAGTCTGTCAAGGGCCAATATTGCTTAAATCTCACTCATCTTGTGAAACTTTTACACAAAGAAATTCAAATTTTTTTTATCTTCTCCGCCTAGTAAAGGTTTTGTTTGTGAAGAGCTGCCCCATGCCTCTTCCACATTCCTCAGACTTGGTGGTCCAGAAAGGCCAACCACTTGTCCCATTGCTTTCCTTTTTTTTTTCCCCCCAGAAATTCTTTTAAAACTAGCCAACTGTGAAAGACTGGGGGTGGAACCCCAGCCAATAGGGGAAAGACACAGCACTCCTACATTAGGAGAAAAACCTATCAGGTTTCCTGCTGGGTGTGCCTGCTAGACCAGCTTGGGTCAGGGCACAACCTTTTTGTGAGAAGAGATTGCCTTCGCAGGTTCCTTTAGTTTCGTTCATGTGTTTCTTTGTGCGAGAGAGAGAATGTGCTTTTCCCCAGGATGCTTCCAGGTACCTTTGCAAGTTTCCTCGTGGATGCAGTCCTGGCAATTTTCTGGGCAGTGTTTGCAGACACCTTCCATGGCCACATGCTTTTCAGGACAAGTTTTCAAGCATACCCCGTGGTCTAGGACAAAGTCTCCTTCACAAGAGTGACAGTTGGTAGCATTTCCCTCACACGTTCTGCATGGGAAACTGCAGTGTTCACAAATCCCGTCTTGTGCGTAGAAGCCCCTAGGAAAAGAAGGGAGGTTGCAATTAGGCCAATTAGAGATGAATCTCAGCTGCTGACAAGGAGACTCAGACGAAAAGGAAAGGCTGCTGCTCCTGTCAGTCAAAACACACCCACAAGACTCACCGAGGGAAATAAAACAGAAGGGGTGGTCTTCCTCGGGAACTTTTGAAGCAATTGAATTTGTCTAAAACTTTCTCATTTGTCTCATTTCCTATTTATCCCCAAATTGTCATTTTCTTTTTTCTCTGTTAGAGCTTTATTTTACAATGGAAAATAGAAAAATATTCTAATTCACACTCACACACACATACACACACACACACACACACACACAGAGAGAGAGAGAGAGAGAGAGAGAGAGAGAGAGAGAGAGAGAGAGAGAGAGAGGAGGAGATATTAATAGAGATTTCAAACCAGGCCTGACTGTGGAAACAGCCATTGGCGTCTATCATTTACGGGCTCTAGGATTATGTTTCTGTTCTTATATTTTATTTGTGTGGGGTGTACTGTAGTAGTCTGTGCTCTCATGTATACACCCGTGCGTGTATGTGTAGAAGCCAGTGATTGACATTGGGGCCTTCCTCCGTCATTCCTCACCTTATTTTTGAGACAGGATCTCTCTTTCTGAATCTGCGGTTTATCACTTTTGATAGATTGGCTGACTGGAGGGCTATGGGGATCCTCCTGCCTCTACTTCCTCAGTACCAAGACCATAGGAGTGCATCACAGTTCCTGATATTTATGTGGGTGCTGGGCATTGAACTAAGGTCCTCTTGTTTGTGCAGAAAGTACTGGTATTTATTATTATTGTTGTTGTTGACAGGTCTTTCAATATGTAGCCCTGGCTGTTCTGGAACTCACTATATTGACCATGCTGGCCTCGAACTCACAGAGATCTGCCTGCCTCTGCCTTCTGAGTGCTGGGATTAAAGGCATGCACCACCACTGCCTTGGTACTATATAGTTTTAGACAATACTAAGAGGCCTTGGATAAGAGGTAAGAGCAGATGACAGCTCTTTACCTTTCTTGTTAGAGATGGCTTTAGAAAGTGATCTACCTGGATGATGGCGTTGGAAGGAAATCTGAGGGAAGGAGGGAGGGAAAGGGAAGGGACAGTCACCCCTAAGCTGCTGGTGACTGAGTGGGGAGGTAATGCTGGTAGCCAAGGTAGACAATGCAGTCTGCGACTCTTCCAGGCCAGCCAGGAAAGTCAGCCAAGCAAGGAAGAAGAACAAATGGAAAAGGGAAGCTTCTGGTGAAGCCAAAGTCACCAAAGTCACCAGTGTGAGGCTTCAAGTGGGAGAATTGCCATTTTGACCCAAATTTTGTTACGTCTTGCTAAACTTGTTATTTCTGGTCTGCTGTTCTCTTCTCCACAGGTGACTTTAGGAGACTAAAGGAATTCTAAATTAGAGGGGCCTACAAAAGCATAGCAATCAACATAAGTAGCTACTAACACTATTTGTAATTCATAACTCATCCACTTGGAAGTTAAGAAGAGCTCGTGCATTTGGGAAGCAGAAGAGAACCGAGAAAATTCAGTTGTCTGTACAAGGTGGGAAAAGAATAGTCAGGCCCCACACATCATGTTTTGGTCAGCGAGGAGCCTCATGTGTGACAGCCCATACCACAGACGCCGTGTGTAGGTGGCTACACTACCCAGGCTTGTGTAAGAACAGTGTGCCACTCACCCGGGAATGAGACTGCCTATTGACACCTCTCTGAAAATATCCCCCACGGTTGTGCAATGCCGGCCACATGGCCGCTGTCACAGAAATATGAGTCCAGGTGCTGACAAGTCACAGGGAGAAGTGGGTGTCTGGCCTTAGGTATGCTTTGGCTTCTGTGGGCCCACAGTGAGGCCACAATCAACAAATAACATTTAGTGGGTGCTCTGGCTGTGCAGAGAGCGTTCTAGGGAGAGGAAGGAGCCGCTCTGAGGTGCTGTGGAGAATAAGGAGCACAAAGGGAGGGAGACACTTACTCCGGGCAACTGTGGTAGCAGCGGCCCTCATGGAGGAGCAGAAGGTTGTCCGGCTGACTTAGGCACTTCTGGCAAAGGTCAGCCCCAGTGCAGGAGGCACAGTCTTCAGCACAGTTCTCGCAGCTGCCGCTCCTGAGCGACGGCCATGTGCCTTGGGGACAGGAGGGAACACAGGTCTGCAGCCACAGGTATGTACCTAAAGATCAGGGCACGAGGGGAGGGCAAAGGACAGTTGTCATGGTTACTCCTGCTAGCGCACACGCCACCCAGAGGACTGACACCCAGAACGGCGGTCTTTTCTCTTTCTTTCTTTCTTTCTTTCTTTCTTTCTTTCTTTCTTTCTTTCTTTCTTTCTTTCTTTCTTTCCTTCCTTCCTTCCTTTTTTCCTTCCTTCCTTCCTTCCTTCCTTCCTTCCTTCCTTCCTTCCCTCTTTCTTCCTTTCTTTCCCTTCCTTTCCCTTCCTTTCTCCTTCCTTCCTTCCTTCCTTCCTTCCTTCCTTCCTTCCTTCCTTCCTTCCTTCCTTCCTTTCTTCTTTTTGCTTTTTCAAAGTTCAGGTATTTGGAACACTATTTCAGGCTTATAAAAATATTTATCTATCTATTTACTTACTTATTTTTATTAGTCCTTTAGATTTGTTAGACCTTTGGGAAGGAGATCAGCCACAGGGGGTTTTGCCCTGCTTCTTTTATACAGTCTGACATTAGATACTGCTCACCCCAGGGCTTCCCTTTGTCCTGCTGATGAGCCCTGTCATCTAGGCAGTCACATGTGAACTGCTCCATGGGACCCCCTTTCTTTCCACCCAATCTGTGACGGGTGAGGCTGGCATGGCAGTGAAATTTCCAGACATCCTCCCCTTCAACACACACTCCATTTTCATGTGTGCTCATCAGAAAGGACATCATTGTTATTCTAAAAGGCAAATGTGGGCTGTGAGATGGTTCAGCAGGTACGGGCCATTGCTGTCAAACCTTATTAATGGAGCTTAAGGCCTGGAAACTACACAGTGGAAGGGGAGAACCGACTCCTGCAAGTTTCTCTGATTCCCACACATGAGCTGTGGTATGTTCACACCCACACTCAGAGATACATAAATGTACTCCTTTTTTTTTTTTTTTTAAATTAAGAGGTTAGGGAGAGCCCAGTAAAATGCAAAGGTAAGAACACGAGTTTGAACCCCAGAACCCACATAAAAAGCTGTGTGCAGTGGTGAGTGCTTGCAATCCCAGGACTAGGGACATAGGGAAGGGAAGATGCTGTGCTCGTTGGCCAGGCAACCAGCTCAGCTGAACTGGTGAGCCCCAGGCCAGTGGGACACCTATCTGAAACAAAATGAAATGAAACAAAACACCAACTTGGAAAGCCATCTTGAGGAACAACAATTTGACCTCTAGCCTCCACACAAGAGCACGTGGTGGGGGAAGAGACAGAAATCTTTAATAAATAAATAAATAAAATTAAAAAAAAAGAGCACGTGTACTGGTGCACACCACACACACACACACACACACACACACACACACACACACCCTACAAAATTAATAAATGATGTAAGGATAAAAAAAATAGGGTCAGATGTATGGTGGCACATGCACTTGGGAGGCAGAGATATGCAGATCTCTGTGAGTTTGAAGTCAGCCTTCTCTACATAGTAAGTTTCAAGCTAACCAGAGCTACATAGTAAGATGGTTTCAATAAATAAATAAATACATCCATCATGTAAAAATAATAATAACAAAATTCAAAACCATCTCAACTAAAATTCTAAAGCATCTTGTTTCTGTTTCTGGGTGTGGCCGCTCATATTTCCAGCCTTGCTGCCTCTACCATTTTCAATGCTGCCTCATGTCAGCTCTCACGACAACAGCCCCTGATTCAGGGCGTTAGCCAAGTCTCAGCTGCTAGAGGCCAGCCCAGATCCGGAATACCAAGTCAAAACTGTAGAGGGAAAGGTCTTGAGGCTATAAAAACCTTTATTACAGTGTATTGTTGTGATTCTCCATTTTATTATTGATTGTTGTTATTCGTTTATTGTGTCTGATTTGTAAATTCAAGTTTATCATGGGAAGTATGTATAGGAAAACAGTACACACAAGACTTGGTTCTACTGTGGTTTCAGATAGCCATAGACTTTTCTGGAACCCATTGCTAAAGAATAAGGGTTTGGCAGTATTAATAACATTACACATTTATATATGGCTCTTATGCTAATTTTTAAAGATGCACTTTTTATTTTATTTTTAACTATGTCTATGTGTGTCTGTGTGTCAATGTGTATGAGTGCAGGTGTCCATGAAGGTAGATGCTGGGAACTGAGCTTGGGTTCTCTGCAAGAGCAGTATGTGTTTTTTTTTTTTTTAAATGGATTTTATTGAGCTATACATTTTTCTCTGGCAGCAACTTAAATGCCCCTTGAGTGAAGAATGGATAAGGAATATGTGGTACATTTACACAATGGAGTACTATACAGAAGAAAAAAGATGACATCTTGAAATTTGGAGGCAAATGGATGGATCTAGAAAACATCATATTGAGTGAGGTAACCCAGACTCAGAAAAACAAATACCTACTCACTCATAAGTGGTTTTGAGACATAAAGCAAAGAAATCCAGCCTACAATTCACAATCCCAGAGCACTCAGACAACAATGAGCAGTGTGTGTTCTTATCTACTGCACTGGGTCATCTCTCCAGCTCTTAAAGATAATTTTTATGGGAGCATAACACTACATAGGCAATCTATCCTGAGGAAGTTATCTATGCCAAGGATTTCTATAAAACGGTAAGATCCAGGAAATGGGCTGTTCTGTTGCCCCTTCCCTTCCCCTCCCAGTACCAAGAGTAGACTTAATGATGAGGGAAACCACAGTGTGTTCATCCTCATACTTATCCTCGTCTTAGATAAAAGAACAAGAAACTGTAAAGTACCCCAGATTCCAGAAAATTCTGTGGCCAAATCAACCCAAGCTTCACCATGCTTTTGGAGTAAGAAGCATTTCTTTGTCCCAGAAGGCCCGTTTTTGTTGCTGGTTTGTTGTGTGCGTCCCCCAGAGCCCCCACAATGGGAGGATATAATGAGACTAGATCAGTACTGTATGCCTGAACACAAATCTCCATCAGCGTGCACGCGTGATGATGGTATGCGGGTTCGGATCCCATCACCTCCCCCTCCACACTGACCTGCTGGACATGAAGTGCAGAGAGTTTCAGATCCATCGCAGGTCTTACAGGAAGAATGGCAAGGTTGATATTGCTTTGTGGCATCTGTATGGGCAAGGAAGAAGTCAGACTTGGCCTCATCGCAAACTGTCACAGTAGTGGAAGAGGCCTCACTGTAACTCAGTCTTCGTTCTTTTCAATTTTATACTAGCTAACTACTGGCTACCACCCTGTAGAATTTATTCATTATTTTCTAAAATTCTTGCCTTGGAAACATTGTCAAGATTTCCCTTGTAACCGCTCAATGACAGAAAAATTATAGCTTATAGGATAGTCATCATACTATGAGCTAACACATCACGCTGCTTTCACATGTTTGGACCATGTAGGCGAATGTCTGTGTGTCTGTGTGTCCATATATTTGTGTGTTTGCATTCTCCCTCTAAGAGCATCTGAAAGAAAGCTTTTCCAGAAAGCCACCTTGGAAAGCTTGTGGGACAGTTTTTCATATACACAGGGCAACCTCATCCACCCCATTCAGGGCAGAGAGATCTTCCCAGTGCACCACCCGCAGGGAAGTCTAGCTTCTCTGATCCCAATGGCCCTGACCCCTTCCTCTCTCCTTGACCCTCGTCTACTTCTAGGAGCCTGGTAGATGGCTCTCTACTCATGCCTGCCAACCCAGCTGGACAGCTTATGTGTAGGGTAACCATGGATACAGTAATCAAAGTCTCAGAGTCCTATTTTCAAGGTCTCCAAAATGAGAGAAAATGGTTCCTCCCTTGTAGAACTGTGAAGCTCAGGGAGGCAGTGTGTGTCTTGTTTAATGCTGTGGGTGTGTGAAGTCCTTACTTACTGCTCGGTGAGACAGTGAGTGAGGTCCTTACTTAACAGGGCTCAGTGAACCAGTGTGTGGGGGTACTTACTTAACACAGGGCTCAGTGAGACAGTGTGAGGTACTTACTTAACACAGGGCTCACTGAGACAGTGAGTGAGGTGTTTAACACAGTGACTGAGTAACAGACCTCCACCTTCTCCCTTTCCTGTTCTTTCATCATTCTTCCACTCCATTTCTGAGGCTGCTCTCATTTCTCTTTTATTTTCTTAATCCACACTGGGACGGGAACCAGGGGCGGGCCTGGTTTGTTCGGTGTCTCTTGTGATTACAAAGCCGCTCAGCCTTGTTGGGGAAGAGACCAGAGTGGAGTACAGATAGGGCAGAGAGATATGACTATGTGGATACACATGTGCCGTATGCACATGTAATGCACGCTATAACATACATACACATACATAACGCATGTGTCTATAGAGCCGCACAAGCAGTCACATCGACTGGCAACAGCAGTTGTCCCCAAAGTCCACAGGCCTCTTTCATTTTGCTCCCAAGGCCTTTTCACCTGTTTCACCTGGAGACAACCCGTGACCATAAGGAGAGGCCGAAGGAGGGCAGCCGCATGCTAGGATGCTCAGAGTTACAGTCATCTACACTGTATCTGGCCACAGGCTGATTTTCTGTGGACTTTCTCATTCTGTACCGAAGGGTTTTTATTCACAAGGATATGAGCTTTATTTTTCATATATTTGTGAAATTCAATAGCTATCCACACGTACATATTTGTAATTATCTATATATTTAACATTCTGGCCATTTTGCTGTTTTCACTGCATAAACTTGGTATAGAATTCTGCAATGTTCCCTAATGTCCAGCAGAGGGAGCGCTGAACAAGCAGTTCACAGTAATTAGACCACAGCATCTAGTAGGTTAGCCAGTCAGACGGAGTAAGTTGTAACTTTATTCATGGTTCACGTTTTTAATCCCACTCCAGAAATTCCAACCTTGCTAACACAGATGAAAAAGAGGGGAAAAAAAGGAAAAGGAAAGAAATCTCTTCAGCCAATTAAGTGGTACCTCTTAGCCGCAGGCAACTGTAAAAAAACAGGGCCTTCTTATTCTTATAGTAAATAATTAATAGTCATATAGATCTATATCTGCACACTGAATCTATTCACACTGTGCATCACTTTGCACTATGGGTTTTGTTTTTATTTGTGTTTTTTTTTCTTTTTTTGTGACAGGGTCCTGCTATGTAGCCTAGGCTGTCCCTGAACTTGTGAGTCTCCCACCCCAGCCTCCTAAGTACTTGGCTGACAGACGTGCTCCATAATGCTTGACTTGCCTTTTTGCTTTTTAAACTCATCTTTTGGAGAGCAGGCCTTGCTGATAAATGAGGAACCTCTTCGTTCCTTTTGACAGCTCTGTAATAGTTTCCTCTACGGATGTGCCAGCCTTCATTTCTTTTATCATAGCCATTTAGTTTTCCAGTCTTTGCTATTTTAAAGGACACCTCGGTGTCTAAGAAGGCCTATGTTGCTTCTTTAGCCTATTAAATATTTGCAGGGATGGAGCCTGGTGATGAAGCCCAGGGGCTCGTGGTTGCTAGGTAGTTCCCTGTGGCTGAGCTCCCATCCAGCCATACGGCTCTTTGACGGTCTTTCCCAGACACAGTCCTCAGTGCATCGAGAATGGCCTTAGATGTGACAAAATCCTCTGCCATTGGATCGCACAGATTTCCCAAGTGTCCACTGCCTTCTTATGGCCCTCCTGTCTCCTCTGTCATGACTTCCGTATCCCCATTGTCCTGGCCTTCTGACTGCCGGGCTTGCTTTCTGGAGATGGCTGTGGGGTGGTGACCATCTCCTCCCTATTTCCCTGTTACCTCTTTTGACTTGAACTTTCCACCTTCGTTGCTCCTGCAGCAGGTTCTTCACCATAGATGGGTTTTCAGTGGGAACAGCTTCTTTTTATTAAAAAAATAAAGTGTTTGTTTTAGCGATAAAAGAACTAGGAAGAAGATAAGCTTCCCCTATGCCCCCACCTCCCAGAGATGTCTGCTGTGGATTCTTCACACACAGATCCCCCCTGAGATGTGGACGGTGGAAGGACTTGTGGGATGCAGTCATTCGCACCCTCTGCGCGTAGGATACTGAGCCTGCATGAGCCATTCAACACTATCCATACAATAGATGCTTCCTCTTGTCACAGCCTTTGAAGGCATCTTTTTAGAATCCTTTACATATGTATTTGTATGAATCCTATTTCATTTTTTGGTTACATTTGCAGATTGCTTGGCCCCACACATCCGTTGTGGTTCTTATTGTAATGAAGCTACAGGCACATCTTTGAGGGAATGCACTTGTGGCCGGTCAGGACTCTGATTGTGAGGGGTCCTGGCTGGTCTGTGGATGCCTGCTCTCCGGGACTATTTTTTTCTAGACCAATACGATTCTTCGATGTCCCTCACCCTCCCGCCAATTGTTTTCTTTTGTAACCCTGTTGTGAACTGGTGTTTTGGTTGGGACAAAGGGTCAGGAAACAGGACCCCTAATGTTCTGTGGGATGTAAAGGTTTCTCGGGTTGGAGAGGATGGATGCAGTGGTTTCATGCTCTCATTTTACAGTCGAGGGAACTGAGGCTCACAGAGGAGGAAGAACGCACTCAGGGTTATGCTACAGTGAACAGCCAGGCCAGGATTTGAACGCAGGGCTCTCTGTTTCTAGAGCTACTGTTCTTACTGTGGGTTTTTTTTTTTTCTGCTATCCATTTGCAGTGCTGGGATCTAACTCAGGGTCTCACGCACAGGAGGCAACTGTTCTCCCATTAAGTCACACTTTAGCTTCCAGGTCTGTCCATCATGAAAGCCCACGTCCACTAGAGAGGCTCTTGAGCAATTAATTTCAATTTGAAAGTCATTTGAGAGAGATCAAAGTGGAGCTCGGTTGGGGAGACAATGCTGATTTGCAGCGTTGCCAATTTCGGTGATGGAAACATGTCTGCCATAGCTAATTTTAGGCGGTCAATGGCCTGGCAACACACAGTTCCTGGATGCATAACAGCCAGCACAAGCCAGTACAACCGTCCCTTGTGGCACTGGGCCAAAGGTTTGATTATCCCAGAGGGTGTGTGCTCTTTACATTCAGCTTTCCTATTGGTTAAGTCGCTAAAAATGCCACCATCCTTCCTAGACGAGGCAAGCACACACAGAGATGGACGAATCCCTTCTAGGAATTTGTGGCATCTTCAAAGTTACCCACAGTTACTATCACACAGTATTTATCTCTCCATGAAGAGGTTGACTTTCCTCCCACAAAGTCCCAGACTCCAGTATTTCCCAGAGCTTAGGAATGAAGATCAAAAGGACAGCTAGTGGTGAGTGGCTAGGATGTGGTCAAAGATAAAACGTTTGCTCACCAAGCCGCGCTTTGTGGATTAGTCCTTGCTAGCAATCTCTAATTAGAGCCTGCTATGACCTGGTTCTAATCAATGAGGGAAATAGGTGGGCCGGGGCACTCTCAGGCATGTTTGCTGGAACTTTCTGAGACACTGGAGGGGAAAAATGCTTTAACAGCGACTGGGAAACTGTTCCCGTCCTCAGGTCTGGTAAAGCTCTGTCTCTGGACGCTGATGTCTCACTGCCCCTGGACATGGTGACATGCCGTCACCTATTCAGAAGGATCCCTGTCATTTAGGAACACTGGCCCAGGACATCGTCACAGTGTTAGTGAGTGGGACCCAGGGCCTTCCTGGGACTTTTTTAGTGGCTGGAAAACACAGTAAAGCTTGCCATCCTTGAAACTCAAGGATCTTGGCTGCAGGACTTGCCTGGCAGGCCTTGGTGAGTTTGCCACCCTTGGACTCTGGGGAGAGGGGAAGTCATTCTGGGGAGAGTTGACAAAGAATGGTGGTGGCTCTTCCTCACTCTTGTTATTGTCCTTCTGATTAGCCACAGAGCTAAGAAAAGAGTGACCACAGTGTCATTCAGTCTCAAGGTCACTTCCCCAAGCACACAGAGACCTCTGAAGCACTATCTGAGTATGACCTTCGGATCCCAACACGGTGCTGTTTCTGTTGGAAGGAGCGAGCTGAAGCTCAGGCTGTCCTAGCATTCTACCTGCGTCTGAGTCTGTTTTTTTTTTTTTTTTTTTTTTTAAGTCCCAACGACAAGGCTGAAAACCCGGCTGGTAACACCTAGGCCGCTCCATTCTCTCGTCAACACCCTGTGACTTGTTCCAGGCTTCCTCGAGGTTGACCTAGGATGACTGACATCTGTTCCTCATCATCTGAGAGGTGTGGCTAATTAGTGCTTGCTCTCTGGAACGCTCCACTCTCTTATTACACTCCTGACCTTGTTTTTAGGGGAAGAAGGCAGGAGAGATGTAGGCACTGGTGCCAAGCCTCCCCAAGGTTAGTGGGATGCGTTCCCCATTCACTACGCACTCGGTGCTGCAGCTGTACAGGGAGGGTGCGCCGCCGCGGCTTCACCTTGCTTAGCGAGAAGACGCTCCCCAACAATTCTCTGTTAATGCTTTGCAGTCTGATTTCATAGATCACAGAAATGGAAAGTGCGGCTAGGTCATGGACTTCGTTGCTTTTGTCCAGCCGCAAGAAACATTCTCATCTGCTCCCAGACTCCCTTATTGGTGGGAGGCCCCCAAAGAAAATAAAACCTTTCTCATTGCAAAAACATCACATTGTGATCACAGGGGGCTGGAGGGAGAAGGAAGCCTGGGTGTGGTGCTCCCACAAAGGGGAACAATCAGAGTCTGATTTTTGCTTGCAAAATGCGTAGTCCAGTTGAAGAGACATGTAATCATTGGGGGAATCGAGTCGGCTCTGACTCTCTTGGCTCCCTGCACCTTTTCATCATCTGGACTCCAGATAAAATACAGATGTTCAGGGCAAGAAGCGCAGCGCCAGACTGTTTCCTTCTTGGCTTCTTCTACCTCTTAAAGCCCGAATGCCAGACCAACTCGTTTTCAGCATTTGGGTTCAGCTATAATTCACAGAAGATATCCCAATCTGGATTGAGTAACTTTCTTCTTAGCCCTGTGTCGGAAACAGCCTAGGGTGCTCTGGCCTTTGGATGTTGTCTTAGGAGAATCAGATGAGCAGAAGTGTCACAGTGGACAGCAGCTATGACACCTGTCCCCTGAACCCAGGAGGGACCTTCCTCCTTGTCCTGTGTGGCCTCCTACGGCTACCACTGTCACTGTACGGAGTGGGCTCTTCTCCAGAAATTTGGAAATACCTTTATTTTTCATAGTATAGCTGAATGTGAGTCAGACTGCCCAACCCCATAAAAAGGACTTGGGATTTTAGCCTTCTCCAACATGGGGATGTTGTAGAAAGATTATAATTGCCTCCAAGGAAGCCCATAGTGGGGTTGCAGAGGTGAGGAGGCCAAGTCTAAAAATGCAGAGAGGGATAAATATCAGTCCCTCACGCCTTCTTGAAGACCAAACCTTTCCCATATGCACCTGCAGAGTGCAGCGCCCCTCCCCACCCAGCCATGCTGAGGATCAGACCCAGGACCCCATGCACAGTAGGCAAGTACTAGACCCCTGAGTTATGTGCCTCCACCCCTGACAGCTCTCCAGCAAGCTGACCTGCTTAGCATCAGCTCCAGGTGTCAGGGTCACTGAAAAGACTGCCCTGGGGTTGAAGGTTTCCTTTATTGTAGAGATACATCACATGATAGAAACTGTTGTGAAGCCTTTGAGAAGATGGGAGGTAGGCCACTGCCCATGGTCCTGGGTCTCTTATCTCTAGATCAGTCACATCTTGCCCTCTGCTTTGCTCTTGCTGGCCACATGCCTACTTCAGCTACCTACCTTTGTGTCCCACAAACTCCCGGATTCTGTAAAATAGCCCTTCTGCACACTGTGAATTTGTATTTCTTTCATTGGTCAATAAAGACGGTGATTGGCCCATCACCAAGGCAGGATAAAGCTAGGTGGGAAAATCAAACAAGATACAAGGATGAAAAGTGTGGAGTCAGAGAATCACAGAGCAAGATGGGCACTCCAGACTGAGAAAAGGAACTAAGCCATGTGGCAAAGTATAGATAAAAAGGAGTTAATTTAAGTGTAAGAGTTAGCCAGTAATAAACCTGAGCTATCAGCCAAGCATTCGTAATTAATATTAAACCTCTGAGTGATTATTTGAGAGCAGGTGTGGAAAAGAAACATCCACGAACACCCTGAGACTTGGGGGTCTTGGAGCAATCGTGATTCTCCCTCAAAACCCTTTTCTCAGAAACAGTGCTGAAGAGGGAGGAAGCAGAGAATGCCCTGGGCCTCCTTCTGCCAGGTACGTACCGTTCCGGAAATTGCCTTCCCCCTCTTGGGGCCCTGTGCGCCAGACACACGCCCCGTGCCACAGCTGCAATCCTTCTTGACAGCTGCTGCATTGGTTGTAGCCCAAGCCGGTACAAGTCTCACAGGCCCAGTGGCAGGGCTGACATTCTCCCAACTCTTGGTCTCCATAGAAGCCAGGGCCACAATCCTGCACACAGCTGCCACCTTTGGAAGATGGGGGAGGGGCATGAAGAAGGGTCTCTGGTCAGCTGGGCTTCTGGTGCTATTGAAGGATTTTCAGGACTTTTTTTTTTTTGCATGTGTGCAAATCAAGATGGCTTTAGGTTATCTCAGTCAAAGACTATGTTCTAATAAATGTAATACTCTTTTTCTCTTTTTAATTTAAATATGAATTTGCCCTCAGTTAAGGGCAAGGAACTTTGAATGAAGATTTAACACCTCCGAGCCTTAATAAACTACACATAAAATGAGCCTATGAAGAGAACTCTTGAGGCGCACGCCTTTAATCCTATCGCTTGGGGGGCAGAGGCAGGAGGGTTTCTGGGAGGTTGAGGCCAGCCTGGTCTACCTAGCAAATACCAGGACAGCCAGGATTGCATATATAGACCTTGTCTCAGAAATAGAGAGGAGGGAGGAGCTGCTGAGAGATGGCTCAGGCCGTAACGTGGTTGTCTTGCAAGCACGAGGGCCTGAGTTTGGATCCCTAAAACTTACCTTTAAGTTGGGTACCCTGGGTATGGTGGGACCCCCTGTAATCCTAGTGATGGAGAGATGGGGGAGAGGCGGAGACAGGTAGACCCTTAGAAGTTCATTGGCCAGTTAATCTAGCCTACATGGCAAAGTTCCAGGCCAATGAGAGTACCTGTCTCAAATGAAAGATGGAGGCAAGCCAAGGTTGTCCTCTGACTTCCACAAACATGCCGCACACATGTTCGTGCACAACTGTGTACACACAGAAGGATGGGGCAGAGAGGGAGAGAACGTGAACTGCCTACTCATTGAGTGCTGTCTGTAGTATTCTCCACACTTAGTCCTGAAGCTCACTGGGTTGTCCAGTTCCTGGTTGGAAGACTCCGTAAAAGTCTTCCCCAACTATTTCCAACAACATCAATGAGTTCACCAAAACCCAAGACAATGGAGCTTGTTCAATTATATAGTGTACATGAGTCTGTAACATGACTTTTTTCAAAAACATAAGGGTTTTGCTTCAAGCAAATGGCCATGACTCTGAATAGAATAGCCGAGGTGACTTCAGTTCTAAAACATTGGTTTTCGAGTCTCCTCCCCATATCGTTTCCTGCTTTTCCTACTCAACATCAACTTGGAGATCGTTGCGATTAATTAGTGAAATATGAACTACACTTCAATATGAACTGCAGGCAGAACTGGTTCAGGCTGGTGTTCATTTTCAAACATTACAGTTCCTCCGTGGACCCTAGGGGCCAGCACACAGAGACCCTGAAATCCATCACAGGAGAACTTGTGTTGCAGTGATGGCCTGCTGGGTCCCCAGGGGGCCACCATTGTCCAGCTTACCCGAGAGAAAGAAGCCCTCCTCACACCAATGGCACTCATGCTGGTCACAGTTGCCGCAGTTGGGGCCACAGGCTCTGCACTCCCATTCGGCACTGAAGGTCTTTTCAGGACAGACTTTATAACAACGCCGCTCAAACCTAGAGAAGATGACGCCATGTTTCCATGAGACGGACTGGTGTTGTGCTAATAATCACCACGATCTGATTCCCTCTGTAGTGTGGTGAACAGGCGATTGGTTGTCAAGGGCAGAGACCTGTGCTTGGCCTGTCCTGCCCAATCAAACCAAGCCATTCGCCACCTCCTCTGGAGCTCTGAGGGTCCCTTTATCAGGAGAGCTGGGAGGAGGTTGGGGAGGTTGGGGAGGAGAGGGTCACCGAGACTGATTTATTTAGGGCTAGTTGTTAAGTATCAGTTCATTCAAATCTGTACACAAATCCCACCGGGAAGCCATTACTTATTTTTAATGTCTACATAGAGGAAACAATGTTCTAGCCTCCAGTATCCAACATCTCCTTGATGGTAGGACCACGCAAAGTTTGTTGGAATAGATAGCTTTTGCTGTTCTCTTCGGAAGTCAGAAATGGCCCAGTGTTGATTTCAAGCAGCTCACCAGAATGTCTGTGGCCAGATCGTTTAACAACTGGGAAGTGCCCTGACAGCAGCACATGGAAACACGTGCCTACACATATACACATCTGGACTCTTGCATGGATGATCCACCGTGCTCATTGTACAGCAAGCTATTGTAACTCACTGGGTGATACAGTGCAGTGAGGCTGACTCTTGCCCTTGGGTGAATTTCAAAGTTTCAGTACACCATTGGGGGGATGTTTGCATCCCCTCTTAACAGCTTATATCGTACAGCACTCCATCAGCTACTGAATGGTGCTAAGTAGTCTGAAATGTTGTGAATGTGTGTTTTTTGAAACAGTCATCTCACACTGTGTCTGTGTCTTCTCATGATAGGATACGCTATTCCAGCTCATTTCTTTCTCAGGGGGTTTTATGAAACACGCTCATTGATGATCTGGGGACTGTCACATGTCATGGGACAGGAGAGGAAGCAGATTTTTTTTAATGTGCTCTTTTGTAGTCCTGCGGGTCAAACTTAGGGCCTTGCATAGTGAGGCAAGTGACCTCCCCCTAAGTTGCACCCTTAGCCTCCTTCTCTCGGAAATGAAGAAACTGCATGAATGAATTAGGAATAATCTGATGAGAGAGTGATAATAGAAACTGACCAGCCATTCCAGAGACGCCAGATGACAAGCAGAAGACTAAGTACAGGGACTGGGGAGGCGGCTCAGCCCTAGAGATAATGGATGCCCTTCCAGAGGACCTGCAGCCATGTGGCAGTTCACAGCTGTTTATTCCTCCAGTTCCAAGGGATCCTGTGCCTATTTCTTCATGTGTGCACAAATACACATAGGCACACATATATGTATGAGTACAAGCCGAACACTCATACACATGAAATAAAATAACACCTCTAATCCTCACCCCCACCCAAAACTCAAAATGTTTGCAAATTAAGAACTTTCTGAGAACTGACACGATGGTGCAAATTTTTGTTTCATGCACAAAAATATTTTTTAATTATCCTATAAAATGACGAATGTCAGGTCATACACCTCAGGTAAATATGAATATAGGTTCTAGTTTGAGACATGGCCCCAACCCAAGTCATCTTAGTTATATGTAACCATTCCAATATCTGATAACAGTTGTGAAATCTGAAGGGTTTCTCTCCGAGCGTTTCAGTGGACGGGTCCACAGGGCACTCACGCTGGCCTATCCTTTTGGCACGCTGTGGCTTCCCTCCCGTTTCTCACAGCTTTCACCAACTTTTCGCCTCTTAGCCTGCTCTGAGATCCTAGAATCTGCCAGCTATAGGAGGTGGTGACCCGCCAAAGCAGAGAGATAGGTCTGCCACTAGTTCGTGGTGCAGAGGGAGAGGGGCACCGGAGCCTCCCTTTATCCCTTCTTTCTTTCCTGGACATAGAAGAGATCTCAATTTTCTCACAAGCGTGGTGGAAGATGAAGGAAAGTGGATGCGAGAGTCGTGGGTGGTCGAGCCGAGCCCATGCAGCCTCTGTATTGCTCTGGCCTGACCTTCCCTTTCATTTTCCTGTTTGTCTTGGTTTTCTTCTTGCACAGTGATACAGACGGGATGGGAAAGCAGCTAGGACAGGAGGTGATGTCGAAAGTCACGGACTTGGCTTTTATAGATTTGTAGTGGGGAATATTAGTCTGATGTTTATCTGCATTTCATTTTAGCTAGTGGTCCATGTCTCTCATCACCTAGCGGGCGATTAAAAGGTGAGTGTCTCACCTGACTTCCCTTGGAGCATCTGATTCTAGTTAGGGACAAAGTCCCCATGCGGGCATTGAGAAGCAGCTTTCTTGAAGGCAAATATATTCTTAAAGCCTTAACAAGCAAGGTCTGAATGTTGGTGAACCATGGCAAGATTCCTAGACACCAGTGTCAAGATGGATGACTTCCAGGATCAAGAAAGGGAAGGCTTCCTTTCAAGGCAAGAAAACATCTGGACTCTTACCACTAAATCCAAAACTCAGCCATTAATAGCCCACAGTTGCTTCAGGCTGCAGGGACGCTGTGCTTCAACCACTGGAGGTAGGATTAAGTCAGTAATGCTTAAACTGCAGAAACAAAGAGGGTTGGACTTACATGTAGTATCCTGCAGCGCACGAGGTACAGGCTCCTGGATCATCTGGGGAAAGAAATCACAATAATGAGAAATTATGATCGCAGGGAGTTTGGTATTTGGAAAAATGGACTTTGGAAAAGTTACGGTTGGAGGCAGCTAATCTTCGAGGATATCTTTTTGTGAAATGTACTGCCCAGAAATGATATCTGAACAGATTGCACCATTTTAATTAGTTACATAAAGCACATTGCAATTTATCTTTACCAAAGGTAGTAAAAAATGAGACTTCTCATAAAAGACATAAAACAAACAAAACAAAACAAAACAAAAAACCTTGGCCCCAACTTTCAACAAAGCATAGGCGTAAGCTACCGGGTCCTCAAATTCCTGATCAACCACCATTCTCATTAAGAACCTCTGGGCTTCATGGTTGGGAGCTTAGCTTAGAGTTAGAGTTCTTGCATAGGACAGACTATGGGCTTGGTTCTCAGCACTGAGGACACAAAGTCCAGCATCCTCTCAGCCTCTGTTGAGGGTAGGCACAGGCATGTCACACGCACATTTGAAATTCACTACCAGCTTCTGCCCCCAAGACACCGAGTACTTATCCATTTCAACAGATGATCACCAGCAGGAGGGATTGTCACTGGGGAGACTCCTTTGGAATCTGAACAAACATTATCCCCAATCTGAGCACCCATTTAGTGTGTTTCGCTTCATAGCACTCTGAAGGATGCTATTTGGTTCTCATTAGTTGTAATGACTCAGTGTGTTCCTCTTGGCTCAGAACAGGATTCCGAGGCACAGCTTCCCTTAAGAGTTACCACCTTTGGTCTGTATCCAGAGATGCCCAGAAGATGTCCCTCTCAGATCTGGTTTCCAAGGGGATTTTATTGCCTTTGCTGACCTCAAGTTCCTTCAGCAAGGACCTCGGGCAGTTTGTCCTGCTAGTCAATCCACAACCCAGTCTCGCTCCTTCCATTTGCACAGGAGATGAAGAACAACTTCTCCCTGCATAATTCCTTTTGGTTTGTGAAGATTTTAATGCAACTTTAACTTTGGTTAAACTAAGCAACTATGACCTTTGAACTCGGTGAAAAACTACCCTTTCTAAACTGTTCAAGGCTCCCCTCTGCTTATCTGGAAACCTGACATTCACAGGATAGAGACATCCCCATCCCAAGTCTTTATTACAGGCTTGTCTTGACTCTGCCTAGTCAGGGATGCCACATGAACTATGCATTACATATTGTACTAAGACATGGTAGCAGACATTATTTCTTGAAGAAGTTCTGCTACCTCAGAGATAACCAGGGATTCTCAGAACTTTCTAGAAAGAGACTGATGATGGTTAGAGAAAAGAGCATTGGCTCTGGAGTTGGGATAACCTTTTCTAGTTTGAAGGTTTCAGTTTTATTTATTTTTTCTAGACAGGGTCTCACATGTAGCTCTGGCTGTTCTGAAACTCACTATGTAGACCAGGCTGGCCTCAAACTCACAGAGATCTGCTTGTCTCTGCCTCCTGGGTGCTGGAATTAAAGGCGTGCAACACCACCACCAGACTTAGTGAGAAGGTTTTAATACAGGCTTAAGTGTCTTGTGAACTTGCACAAAAATCATCTTATATTCTGGGTCCTGGTTCTTACAGGTATGAAATGAACAGGTTAAATAAGATAACTAAGAAGACTCTGAGTGCTGAAGATTCCAGAACTGAACCTAGTTGGAAACTCTGGCCCAATCAAGATCCAGACCTACTTTGTCCATGAATGTTGTACTGGAACACTTGTACAGTATCAGCAGTGGGTAGCTGTAGCACAGACCCAAATTTGGGCTCTTTGCTCCTTAGCAGGAAAACTTTGTAAATTCTGTCTATAAAATTTAGAGTACTACTCAGCAGTAAAAAAAAAAACAAAGACTTCTTGAATTTTGCATGCAAATGGACAGAAATAGAAAACACTATCCTGAGTGAGGTAAGCCAGACCCAAAAAGAGGAACATGGGATGTACTCACTCATATTTGGTTTCTAGCCATAAATAAAGGACATTGAGCCTATAATTAGTGATCCTAGAGAAGCTAAATAAGAAGGAGAACCCAACGAAAAACATATAGGCATCCTCTTGAATATTAACCTTCATCAGGCGATGAAAGAAGACAGAGACAGAGACCCACATTGGAGCACCGGACAGAAATCTCAAGATCCAAATCAGGTGCAGAAGGAGAGAGAGCACGAGCAAGGAACTCAGGACTGCAAGGGGTACATCCACACACTGAGACAATGGGGATGTTCTATTGGGAATTCACCAAGGCCAGCTGGCCCGGGTCTGAAAAAGCCTGGGATAAAACCGGTCTCTCTGAACATAGTGGACAATGAGGACTACTGAGAACTCAAGAACAATGGCAATGGGTTTTTGATCCTACTGCATGTACTGGCTTTGTGGGAGCCTAGGCAGTTTGGATGCTCACCTTACTAGACCTGGATGGAGGTGTGGACTTCCCACAGGGCAGGGAACCTTGATTGCTCTTTGGTCTTTCGAGGGAGGGGGACTGGGGAGAGGGAGGGAAATGGGAGGCGGTGGCGGGGAAGAGACAGAAATCTTAAATAAATAAATAAATAAATAAATAAATAAATATTAGCAGCTTGAGACTCCATTTAGTTTTTTCTTTTTTGGGTTAGAACCATACATGTTTAGGAACCATTTATTAAGTTTCTTATAGTAGAAGTTTAGTTGGAAGTGTCGAACAAGAGCCAAAGTAGTCAGACACGGCGGTACCTGCCTTTAATTCCATCACTCAGAAGCAGAGACAGGAAGATCTCTGTGAGTTCTAGGCTAGCTTCTACATAGAGAGTTCCAGGCCAGCCAGAGCTACATAGTGAGACCCTGTCTCAAACAACAACAACAAGAAGTCAAAATAGTCAAGGAGGAAGAGGCAGTTCTTCAGGAGGCTGTGATGATGCGTTCTGCCAATGAATGCTTTTAATGTCTGAATCAATGTAGTTTGTAGTAAGGTAAAGTAAAATAGGGCGATAAAATGAGCCTAAAGCCAGGCTAATGAAGTAGACCCAGGCACCCAACGCTAAATGCTGGTGAGAAAGAAAGACTCCCGGCCCTTCTTGAAAACCCTATGGGGATGCTTTCTACTTCCATCCTGTATAGAATGGGGACTGGGATATATTTTTAGAGGTGCAGCGTCCCTGGTGGGCACGGAGGCTAGTTCAGTTCCCACTAGGAAGTCTATTTCTGCATTCACATTCCTTTCCGTCCATCTTCCCACTACCTTGCTTCTATTCAGCTTGCCTCTGGGCAGCTTGATTTTCCCTGCCTGTCCCAGTGAACATACTTGATTCTGACAGTTTGGCTAATTTAGCAAGGGCTGGGGGGAATTCTAATTCTGTTCACTAATGTTCTGGTCATCTCTTCCATCTAGGAACTTAATGAGCTTGCTCTCTGTTCCTTTAAAGCAGGTCGCTCATGAAAATGTTAAGTAGAACCAAGCCTCAGAAGTGTGCATACCAATGTATTTGAGGGCAGGGACTTTTCCAGCCTGGTTGCACAGAGAATTTGCTACCTTTATGACAGTTTGAGCACATGAATAATGCAAGGCTGGGAACTGAGGCTCCTAATAGCTTACGGATGTATGCCAGTTATTATTATTATTATTATTAATACCAGTTGTTCTAAAAATGAGAATTATTTTAAGTTTTTTCCACCCCCAGAAGATCTACAAGTTGGTCATGGATTTAACTTGACCACTGAGAAGCAGCTGTTGTTGGATTAAGGAAGAGGGTAACAATCTTGAACTTGGAAGGTGACCCTGAAGGTGACTTCAATAGTGGCTTCTGGCGACTGTTGTCTGGGAGTTGGAAGGGGCAAGAGATGTAGAAACAAGCTAGAATTCTAACTGTCTTGGAAGAAGCTACCTAAAGTCAGACATTTAACCAGCTCTGGTTGTTTGATCTTGTCAAATTTTTGGGTTGAGGGCATAATTTGAACACTCAGAATTCAGAGAGAGCTTCAGACATTTGGGGACAAAGCTTTCAGAAATGGTGGCTTGTAGTTGCTCACAGACTATGAAGGAGAAGCTACAAGCCGAGCCTGTTGAGGATAGGACCCGGTTTTACTTTCCAGAGAAGATGCAGGTTGTCTTCTTTTCATGAGGGCAGGTAGGCAGGAACGTAGTGTCCACTCTACCTTGAGAGCTCTCTGCACCATTCTTTGGGCCATGTTCTGACTGTACTTTTAGGGAATTATCGTTACTGGACCTCATCACAAATGCCTGACTCCAAGGAAACATTGGCAAATGTTCTCAATGGCCCAGTGGTCAGTGATGCTCTCTGCAGGGGATGCTTTGTTCTTAGCAATACCCACAGCCTTTCTCATTGAATGTGAGTCAACCAGGGCCATGGGGGACTTAAAAACTTATTACCTGTAGGCTGCATTAGAAAGAGGGATCATTTAAACTGAGGTGTAACTCTAGCCATTTCAAACCGTCCAAGGAATGTCATCTTACTTTTACAACTTGTGTAAACTTTAGGTTCTATAACTAAGGAAGCATATAAGTTAAAATACCATAATTTGCTTTTTCAATTTTTTTTCTTGCATGGCAACTTCTCATCTAAGCGGAACAGGAAACTCAGTATCTTAAGGACCATCTTTTATTATAGAATATATGTGTGTGAATGAGCCATGGATTAGCTATTTGCCTACGTAGAACTGACTCTGCAGGATCATGGGGGAAGCTTATGTCAGGATGCTCTTACCCTTCCTTTGGTTGATTTCCCCCTGATAGCCAGACCTTAGTCTTCCATCCTCACTGCAACCTGGCTTGTGTCTCTCCTTACTGTGAGGCTTACTAGTGCTGCCCAGGAGAGGACTAAGGGGCACACTAAGCCCGTGTCCTTAGGTGAATGGTGGGTCTCCAATTCCTTCAGGTGTTAGTCATTTGGTAAGTGACTTTCACTGTGACTCTCTTAGGCCAGACCTGCAAGTGTTCTATAAAACATCACCTATTCTCTTGTAATTTAGCATTGCCCAGTGCCTGCTTCTCCCAGCTGATCTTAGTGT